AATTTAAAAAATAAAGCCCCTAGCAAGCCCTTTATTAATAAATATAACTTTAAAATTAAAAATTAATATAATAGTATTTTAAAGCTTAAAAATAGCTTTAAAAAGGTTTTTAACTTTATAAAAAAAGTAAAGGCTTATTTTAAGTTTTTTATAAAAATTAATAACTTTATAATTTTTAAATAAAGCACTAGCAAGTACCCTAAATATTATAAAAAAGTTAATTTTATTAATTTTAAATACCACCGCGGAGTAGTGCCTATATTAAAAAAATTTTTTTAAGCCTATTTTTTTAAAGCCTTAAAACGCTAGATTTTACTAAATTAATTACTTATTTAAAGTTATTATTAAGTATTAAACCCTAATTATAATACTTAAAGTTATTTATAGCTTTTATAATTATAAATAAATTAAAAACTTTTTTATTCTTAACTAGCGCAAAAAGTATATTAAAAATTATAAAAAAAAGATTTTTAGCTTAATATTTAATAAAGCTAGCTACTATTTTTAATATATTATAAATTATTTAAAGTATATAAAAAAGCCTTGCCCTTTAAAAATTAAAAATTTTTATAACTTTTATAATAAGTTTTAATATTAGTTTTTAAATAATAAAATATTAATTAAAGTACTTATTAATTAGCTATCTTAATAAAAGGGCAGCTTTATAAAATATAAAATAAACTTTAAAAAAAAGTTAAAGTATACCTTTTTAACTTATTTAATTTTAATTAAATAACTTAAGTAAAACCCCTTTATTATTATTATTAACTATATTTATAAAATAAACTAGTACCTTTTATTTTTTTTATATAATTACTAAAGTTACCGCATGTAATAAAACCTTTATTATTATATATAATTTTATAGAAAATAAAATTAAGCTATTATATACTTAAATACTATAATAACTTTATAATTTTTATATATAAAAAGGCTTTAAAATACCCGGGGTTACTATTATTAATAAAAATAAGGCTTTTATTAAGGTGCTTAGTATTATTCTTCCTATAATTAATTAAATTTTTTATATTTAATATATTAACTAAAAAATCCTTAGCTAAGCAAAGCGGGCTATATTAATTATACTTTAAAATAGTTTTAATTTAAATAATAAAAAATAAAGTTAAAGGGTTAATAAGTAGTAAATTATAATATTATAATTATAATTTTAAGCTATATAATTTTTAATAAAAACTTTTTTTAAAAGCTAATAAAGGGCCTTTAAAAAAGTATATAAGTAATTTATATATAAAAATTTTTTATAGTATATTAAAAAAAATAGCTTTAAAAAAATACTAAAAAGTTTTTTTTTAGCTTATTATACTAATATTTATTTATATTTTAATTAAATATTAACCTTTTGGGTAAAGTTAGCTTATAATTAATTAAAAAAAAATTAAAGTTATTTTAAAGCAAGCTAATTTATATAATAACTTTTATTAATAGTATTATTAAGACTTAATATATAAAAGCTTAATATTAACATGTTAATAATATTTTAAGGCCTCCGCCTTAATATAAGCATTTTTTTTAAAAAATATTATTATAAAGGTTTTTACCTATATTATATAAAAGGTAATTAAAATAATAAATTATTATTTACTAAAGTATTTTAATAAATTAATTAAATATTATATAAGTAATTATAAGTAAAGCCTTGGACTTCCCTATATTTATTAAATTTAAAAAGTATTTTATAATAACTAAAGCCTTAGCCTTAAAAAGTTTTATAACTAGTGGCTTTTAATTTTAAGATCTTAACTTTTTATATATTTTTAACACTTTTATATTTATTTTTTACTAAAAAAATAATAAAAAAAGGCCTTAGGGGGCTTTAAATTAATTAAAAAAGTTTATTAAGCAAGATTTATTTAAGTTTAAATATATAAATTAACTAGTTAAAAAAGGGGGTAAAAAAATATTAAGGTTTTTTATTAAAATAAGTATTTATAGTTAAGCGCAGCGCAGTAAAAAAAGTAAAAATTTATATTTTAAATAATATATTTTTATTAATTAGTATACACGGCTATTTAAAAGTTAGAACTTGCCTGTATTTAGTTAAGTTTAAAATATTAATTTTTATATAAAAAATTAAAATTTAAAAATATTAATAATTAATGCGTGCTAAGTTTTCTGCCGGGCAGAATTAAAAGGCGGAACCTAAATAAGCTTAGTAATAGCCTTTTTACTTACTAGTACTAAAGCGGCTAGCTCCCGCGCTGGCGCGGCCAAAGGGCGCTAATTACCGTGAGAATAGGAAAGTTACCGTGAGAATAGCAATTCTCTTAATATTATAGATATACTTTTTTAAGTATAGGTAAGGCTTTTTAAAAATTATAATTTTTTTAATAATATATGCTATATGTTTCTTATTTTTTTAGCACTTTTTTATATAGGCGCCCATAATATATATTTAAAATTTAGTACTTTCCTGCCTTAAAATACCAGTAACTTTTTAAAACTTAAAAATATTTAAATTTTAATAGTAATATATAAAAGATTTATTATTCTAATTTAATTATATATTTTTTAGAGTATAAATTATAATATAGCTTTATTTAGTTATACTAATTCAAAAATGTCCAGATTTTGCTGTTTTTAGTGGGAAAATAGGAAGTGTGTACAGACTTTTGACCCGTGTTGTATCAGTTAGCTAGCGTATATATCTCCCCAAGGGGAGATAAGCAAGACAATCAAGTTTCATGACATTCTTAGTTTCACGCTTAGCGCGTAGTGGACGACCTAAGCTTTCCAAACATCTGCTGCTTAACATCACCTACCAAATACAGGACGTTCGTTAGGAACCAAGAGCTTCCTCACGATCTCGCTGCACCCGGTAACACTAACCAAATTCCTGATTCTGGGTCCAGTCCAATCCTGTGAGTTTCAAAACTGCCGCCAGTTTCGCCGAGCAGCACGATTTGGGCTTAGACATACCGTTCCCACCAGCAGCTTTCGTCGTGCCTTCTGCGTGATAGACTTCCGCTGCTAAAATAGGACATTGAAACAAACAACCTAACTTTTAAAGAGCATATAGGGAAGTTATTAATCCAGCCTGGCAATTGAGGACCGAGTTGCGGCCATGTGGTCTGTTATCAATCATTTGGGCAACATTACCGCCTACACAAGGTTATCCGGATTCCATTAAACCAAACAGCTGTATAGAAGAGGCACATTATGTCTCCTCCCGTCGTGCTAGCACCCATTATGCCTCTTCCTGCTGTGTCTGATCCTACCGAGGAGCCCACCCATGAAGTCAACCACATGTGCGTCTCGACAAGCGCCTTTCTTCATGTATGGCTAAATGGCTACTGCTTGTCAGTATCGGGCCACAAACATCAGGTGACTCTAGGCAGTGTCCTCTGCTTGCAGCATGTGCTGGCTTTGGTATTATACGCACAGTGAGGCCTTCACATGAAGGCCGTCTCGTCTTTTCAAGCCTCTCGGCACATCACGCAGCACCCTCGATCATGCGGACAGCTGGAAACAGCTCCAAGAGCCTGGCCATCCGGAGTTTACCCGGCTTCTACTTAAGAAGACAAGTAGTGATGTCTGGGCTATCCTTGACTATTTTATACAAGAAAATTCAGAGACTGCGCTGGCTCATGAAACACCTTCTTTGCTGAACAATGACAAAGGCAGCAGGTACATTGGGATTCTCATCAGCACTTTATGGATTAATGGCCAAACCTATGAGGCAGTATATGTTGGCGAAGAAAGCAACATTAGATATGGTTCAAGAAACCAATCTCTTTTGCAACTTTTACATCAAGGGAGAAACTGGTTGCATGGATACAAAGTGATTATAATTCTACGTCCTATGCAGTAATGGGAAGCAATCTGCCGTCTGATATCTGATACAAGTTTTTTAGACTGCAGATTGGTTCTATTCTCACTTGCATAGCCCTTGTCATTAGGTGATAGTCAAAATATAACGAAGCTCAAGCCTACTGGTGCCAACAATGTAACAGTTCCTTACTCTATAAATCAATCCTAATTATATGGCTTATTAAAAGTCTGCAGCCCACAAATAGCGCTGGGCTTTTACGAAGGTAAAACGCTCCACCCATTTCTGAGAACCCTGTAGCCAGCCTTGCTTAAATAAGTCTGCTGTCTGCCCGAAGGCCAGCAAAGGTGGCTGGCACAGGGTCACATGGTACACCTACAACCCGTGCTCACTGGAAGGGCTTCAATCCAGCCTCCTAGAGACTCTTAATCTAGGCTGTTGACCATGGAAATATGGAGCTATTCGATTAAATCTTAAATTAGGTGCGGATTCAATAACCAGAAATACGGAGTATGCTGAGAGAGAGCCGGCTGAGGAACTGGTGTTTTACCTCTTATACCTTTTCTCATGATTGTGTTCCTGCCAGGTCTATCCACGCTTACCTATGCTATATCTTGGTATCCAGCCCTTGTTTCTGTTTCTCATCTTATTAAAACTGTCATCCTTGTCTTCTACTCACAAATCGATTCCTCCGGTTCTCATGGCTCTTTTTGTCATGCAACGGACCCTCATGTTCAACCAGTGTTGATTTGGCCTCGACTGACCTGCAGACGGAGGAATTCCCCGCCACGTTTCTTGAGCGAGGCAGCCAATTCAGAGCTGATGTCTATCTCCGTTAAACATGCGATAAGGAAGAGAGGCCTCTGTGGAAATACTGTCTACGTGCAACCATCAAAATTCATCGGCAAATTTAAACCTCTTCCACCACCACGCTGCAGAGAACAGCCCCGATTCGGCGTGAAATAGAACCCACTGAGTTTACTTCGTATTAGTGTTGACTCTCATGACTGTCTGTGTCAAGAAAAAGCCGTTTTCAACTGCTATGCAAACACATTTAATCTAATGAAGCAGCTAAGATTAACCGTCCATCAACAGTTGCTCAGACACAGCATGCGTGACGCTTGACGGTTTGCGTCAGTTGATCAAGGTATATGTAAATATACATTTTCCGTGTTCCAGGTGTGACAAGTCCTTGTCCTCGCAATTGATTCCCATGCAGATTGGCCAAACACGAATGCGTAGCTCGAGTGTGGCAGAAGTTGACACTAAGATCAGGTCAGGCGATGATAGCCCTAACCGGCCCACCACGACCACAACCACAACGGAGACCAACAGGTCAACTGAGACTGGGACGAAACTAGCGTGCAAGAAAAGCACTACTTCACAATCCCCCATTAAGTCCAATCCAAGAACAAGCCAACTGGATTGCGCTCGAAAATACCAAAACCAAGGATATGATCTCCTTGGGCTCCACAAACCCAGAACACAAGGACTACTTCGAGATTATCACGAATACACCGCTCCCATCTCCATTCCCTCCTGCTTCTTTGTACCGTGATACGGGTGGATAAGCCTACTGGAGGGAAACCACATACTGTGAGGTATCCTACCTTAACGACACGAGGTTTGATGACCTAGTCCAGCTAATTAGAGATAGAGAGATTGCGCTGGCCACAGGACGTGCAGACACCGACGAGAAGAAAAGAAAAGACAAAGTCTCCGGTCTTAATTCTGTTTGGTTTTGCGGACGTGTCTTCTACATTTTGGGCATCAAGGTCGAGCCAGTGAGTTTCCGATGTCTTTTCCCTTGTGTTTCGTGGCTAATTCGTCGTGTCCCTTAGGTCAAGACAATGATGACGGGCGATGCATATGACTTGCAGCTTTTGGTCGGCTACTACCACTCTTTCTACCCGCGAACCAACGATGAAGGGGTCGAGCTACCCCTGGAGGATGGCAAGTTTCAATAGGGCCAGGAATTTATATTCCAAACCTATTCCGCGATGATTTAGTTGCTAAAGGCTTTTAAAAATGTGGAGAAAGCCCACCGGAAAGAATTCTCTCTCTCCAGCAAGGCCAAAAAGGATCTGCAGAAAGCCAACCTCCGCTACCGCACCGAACACCCCTGCCCAGCCGCCCGGGTGCTTTTAAGTTCCCTATTGGGGTATTCAACTGCCAAATGGTATATCTAACACTAGCCCAGGGGCCACTTTCAGTGGGTCTATCTGGAATTGTCTATGATTAGCAAGAGGAACTGTTAGATTTTCAAGGCCCTGACCCAGCTCCTGGGAAAGGATCCCATCACGCACGGTCAAGTGGCTGGGCTTTTTGTATGGCGATGGCTGTTCTAACAAGTCCCCGAATGTTGGGATGCACCCCGGACAATGAAACACTGTGCCTAGCTTTACTGATGCAAAGAGAGCGGATCACCTCTGAGCATGTTTACCCAGCTCCAGCAATGGAATGTTATTTCCTTATACTCTGCACAACATTCGAGCTAGCCTACGACCTATGGACTACTATGCAGAGCCTCTCTAGTCAATAACAAAGGGATGAAACCCACCTTGTCGCTGCAGGCAATCTGCGCCCAGGACCCCCCGGGGCCGACGATGTCATTTGCTGGAAGCTGACAAGGCGACGATTCACGCCTGGATTCGGGCAGCCGGGTGACAAGGACCATGTCTTTACGGCTATCACTGATGGCCAACTCCAGCACAAGTTGGGCGACAACTGGATCCTTAACAGAGAAAGTTTAATAATCCAAGAGACACCCAGCCTGTGACAAGGTATACCAAGATTTCCAGGGAGCAGTTCTAGGCTTTTAAGTTGCCTCCTCACCAAAACGCTCCCCTAATCACGCCCATGAATACTAAACCTTTTTCATCTTCTGCAACGTGATCAACCTTCAATATCTCACTGGCTTGGCACAAGTCAAAGAGCAAGGTCGCTAATTAGTTGCACGAGGCCCAAGAGGGTCTGTTAACCCAAAAATACCTACCGACGGGATTTAAGAATAACACGAAGAAAGAGACCCGCAAGGTCTGTTAAAAGAATAAGGGATGGAGAGCAAGAGTCTACCCGATGCAGGCAAGATTTGACTGCACTTCAAGTTGAGCATGCCACTTCGCAAGAGACCAATGACGAAGAGAACAGAACACCACTATGTATTGCAAACAACGTCATGCAAAGGCCAGAGAGCTTATTATATATCCAACTACTGCCAATAGAATTTATCTTGACGCCGAATCTATTAGTTACCGATACTCAGAATAGGTATTTACATCATACTGCCCAGCCAAACAATGGAAATTATTATCTATATATTACTCAAGACAAGCCAATTATGTACTGCAACCCCTATGGCAATCCCAGACACCAAAAGAACAACTCGGTACTGCCCTTAAGGACGATAACGGAAAGCGAGTTGAAGTTCCGAAGTCCGTTCCCGAGATTCCACAAGGACGAGCGGTCGTGAATGGGAACAATCTGTTCAATTGGTTCGACTCGGAATCAGACTCCGACGACGCTTACGTCCGTCCTGAGGCTACGGGACAGGACACTGACGATTGGGCAACCGCAACCGATGACGAGATGCGCAGTATTTTGCTGGATATCGAAACCGAAGCATCAGCACAGCTCCCTACCACTGCGGTAGAGGACGAGAGCTGATATCACAACAATCCTGAAGAAAGCAAACCCCTCCGTGCGCCATGGCCAGGTGGGAAAGTCACGGTTTTTAGAAAGTAACTATAACCATGTTTTCAAGGAGAATTGCCACGAAAAGAGGCAGCCAGAAGTGCAGGAATCGTTTATGTTCTTCGCTAAAGGCCTGTATTTGGTGGGAAAAGAGGGAGAAGTATGATGGCATCCTGTCATCAGATTGTAGGAGAGAACCAGCTGGTTATTGCTGTTTGCTTTGTTGAGGCCCGTGGTATTTAGTGGAAAATATCTTCACTTCCATTCAAGTAATACTTCTACGAACTCAACTTCTTGCGCTACGTGGACCCCTCACACTGTCATCCACTCCTCATTTACCCAAAGCTTTTTCCTAACCAGGTCTGTCTGTGCCTGTTCTAATCCAACACTTTTTTACCACAGAAATGTATACAAAGCTAAATGTCCAACCGAGGTGCTAGAAAGAGACCAACACACTGGAAATAGCCGCAGTTGTCCCTTCCAAAAACTGTAGAAAGAACCTCGCCACTTTCGTGCAAACCGTCGCGAAACCTTTGCATCCCCTTCCGTTGCGCTGGCAAGCAATCCCCATCTGGGGCAATAGCCAGCGGCGCAATCTGCAAGAGCATTCGGAAATCTGCGCTGGCGTTGAAGTCCACCCTCGCAAAACAAACCTGGGCTTTTCACCCAATGCATGTGCGAGAAGGTTGTTAGGAGCGGTACCATGACGAAGCCCACAGAGCTGTGCAAGAACCCCTTGACTCGTTGGCCCAAAGGTACATCCGCCGAAGAAGTTGCTGCTCTAGGTTTCGATGAGCTTATCACTACTAACGACGAAATCATCCCTAACGTTATAAGAGCACCTACTATTGTGGACACGGCTATTATGATGGAGAAGTCCAGGGATGTGGCAGGGTCTTGACGCACAAGCTGAGGCCGCTAAAGTCATCAAATTCCTTAAGAAACGCCATGGCAAAGGCGGTACAAAGCATTCTCGCGCACTGTCCCTCGACACTGATTCTAATATTCTTAAACGCCCTATCTCAAAACGTTCCTGCGAACAGTTTGTCGAGTATCTAAAGACTATTGCCGACAGAAATGCTCAAGAGCTGCAGGCGGAAGATCCTGACTTTGAGTACAACAATATTCCGCTCCCTGACTTCACCGATAACGCGGCAAACAACGTTCCTATCTATAAGAACTACATGAGTGAGCTGGGTTTTGCTTTGGAGGAGATTGATCGTAAGGACTGGAAGAAGTGAATTGAACGACCAACTGGAAGGCCCTTAAGCATTGAGGACAATGCATTTTTTCGACTCAAGTGTACTCCTTGAGTGGTACACATGTACCCAGGTAGACCCGTGCTCTTCTCCGGGCCAGTCACGGAATGCACGTCTTGCATCCCATGGCTAGGGCTGCACCCGACTGATACGATGCTGTCCATGCAGGATGACGCTGCCCGGGCAATGCTACGCAAAGGCACAGCGCAGCTTAACTGTGGAAAGCCCATTGAGTGGAGGATGTGTTGTCAGAAGAGAACTGCACCGTCTTGTGGACGACTTCCAAAAACAGGAATACAAGGAGGCCATCAATATTCAAGTTAGGTATAGGACTTTAGTGGTTTCTACACTATTAGGTCGGGTAGCCCATTCAGGTGCTGCGCTTTCTTTGATTCTCTTCCATGTTATCGCGGCACCTCAATTATCTTCTGATGTTTTTCTCTATGATTACAACCAGGCGGATGGTTCTTTCCCAGCCGGCATTTTGTCACGCAGGTCACAGACCCTACGTACATACCTTAGTTTGCGAGGGTTACCCCCCCGCCGGCTATCCTTTAACCTTGGAACCCTTACTCGGGGATACGTGGTCTAATTGTGCGCTGGCTGAACGACGCCAGTGGAGAACTTATTTGATATCACAAGCACTTCTTATAAAGTGTAGAACACTATAACTTTACGGGCTGCCATCATTAGCCAGGGTTGATGACGAGGTCATTTTCGAAGACGTGAGAGACATATTGGTCTCCGTCAAAGGTTGTGGGATACATAACAGCCTATAAAACTGCAGTAGGTAGCTTCCAGTCCCGGGTAATGGTACGGTCAGGGCATGAACTTGCTACGCAAGCCATTAAGAACGCCATGGCCTTAGGTATCGAGGGAGAGGAAACATAGTCTCATTCCAAACGATATCGTTATCCATCGAGACCTTCGACTTGACAATTCGACTTGACACATACCAGATACCAGGATGTGGGTAACTTTGCAATTGAGTACCTTGGACTGGTTAGGCCTGAGGTCTGAGACTCGCAGTCTCCTGAACCTTCCGGTAATGCTGGAGCCTGACCCAACACCGTCTGGGTAGGACAGATCTTGAACTTCGAGGACCAACCCGTCTCTTTCGGCTCGGGATTCAATAGAACGGCTCCAAGGAACTTCGAGATCGGATCATGCGGTACGCCCGTCATTTAAAGACAAATTCCAAGAAACCGTGAACGAGGCCCTGGATCTTTGGAATGACAACGCTACTCAATGGGAGAAAGGCTAGGCCAGCAAGTGACAAGAAAGACCAACAAATGCCGCTTGTGAATAGTAGGGATTCTGCAAGGTTCAAGACCAAGACTGGGTTACTGGCACTACCTAGAATCCTTTCGCCATTATAAGGTATCTCTTCGCCTCACTACGAATTGGAACTTCGCCCCTGAAGACTCTGAAGACTTGCAAACATGCATCCAGGGCATTACACTGCTTTGAAATGGCCCCGTATAGTGACTGATTTTCTCGAGTGGCGGTTCATGTGGCTCGACATGGGAAGGGGACAGAGTAAGATATCCATTTTCTTCGGTGGAATATGATCGTCTTGACCGATTTGATCGAGCACTTAGCTCATGCCGTGAACCGTGTATCAATGCCATCCTGGATGTCCGCCAGAGTAAGAAGTGAAAACCAGGTGCAGGTGCCCGCTATGGTAGTTCCATTAGAACTACCCCGTAGTCAGCGCTAAACTGTCTTTACATAGCGCAGTAACTGTACGAGATATCTTCGAGAATGATGCTAGAGTGTGCTTCAATAGAACACGCCGGAGAAAGCATATCATTGAGTACCGCTTAGTCTGTACTGATGGAGCATGAGTAATTTGTCCAACAACCCAAGATTTTACCAAGTCTTCCCACTTATAAGAGGATCCGTGTGGACTGGCAAAACGGTGCTGCTCGTCGTACCTTTGTGGATGTTTTCATGCCTTGATACGAGCATGTCACGCGATTTACTTATCCATTAACCAATAGGATTGTTAAGACTACAAAGCGCTTAGACCCAACAGTGAAGATTATAGGGCTTGATCCTTAAACGCTTCCAAAGCCGCCCCTGGAGCCTGTCCCTCTGGAACGCCACGTAACACGTAGATAGTGACTGCATAACGGGCCTACCAATCTAGCTCTGGGCATCACCCCAGCTATGTGAACAGATCTGCGGCTTACAGATACCATGCACTTGGGAGCTTTCAATGGCGCGCTACTCTTCAGAAAGTTATGTGTTCATCATACACCGCATCAAACACCAAGTGCGCAGAGTTGTGCGGGGAGCTGTTCGGCAGACAAGATATCGCATTGATCAGACTGTAACCCTGGGGTTGCGGAAAGGGTGCCTTGGTGGATCATCTACGCAACTCATGGAGTCGCACGCAGATGCCTGGCCTGAACCCATTTAAAATGCTGGCCGAGCCTCCATCGTCCTCAGAGTAAGACTGCATGGGCTACCAGGTCTACTCGCAAACGGTAATAACATCCTTAGTCTTTCCATCGAACAACTGCAAAATAATGGTGTTTTCTGCGTTGAATACACAAGCGGTATTCCATATGTACTCAAGTGAGAACAGATGATTATGACCATGAACTCGAGATAGCCATTAAGCCAGAACTCTCAGAATGGTGTATTCACCTACCTCATGATTGAACACGAACCCGTAGTCCTGGTCGTGACTGCCTTGGTCTGTCAGGCAGCTTGCATGGATGCTAAGCCACTGGGTCAAGTCTGGCGAGCTTTCTAGTTTTATTCGTGGTTTCCTGGTTGTCCGAGTCCCAATCTACCACCCCCATTGCGCCTAATGCGGTCGGTTCAGAGCCATAGAGTGCTCTGTGGTCTGGAACCGGAAGGCTGGGTCTTCCTCCAGAAGTCGAATACTTCTTCAGGCTTAACCGGTATGGCTTTTCGGTGAGAACGGTGAGATAGTTTGCATTGGCAAGATCTAGAACCTCGAGTCATCCGACCCAGAAACATTTTGTTTTGAAAACGCCGAACCGGACACTTTATATCCCACATACGTGGTACTGTCTATGAGAATCGCAGCCGGCGCCCTCCGTTCTTCTCTTCTTCTCTTGCAGATGGTTTCAATATTCGATTCGCCACAATCACGTATCAACGCAAAAGAAAAAGGCTAAGCGCCTCCCATTACCCACCACGGCTCAGAGCACAGGTAATCGCACTTGGTCAACCATGGCCTTCCTCATATCTCTTTCCTTTACCTTCGGAAAGGAATGGGTTCAATGTTATGAAACATATTCAACGACAAGAATGCACTGCTTTCCCGTGTACATGATGACGACGCGAACAGAACCATGAAGCCCGAACACCAGAACCAACAAGTTATCTCTAGAATTGAAAAGAGTGGTCCTGGTACTAAGCAGGCAACTGGAGAAGGAAACATACGCGACGTCAACGGCACCTAATTTATAAAGCTGGAGTTGCGCACCTAGTCAACCTTGGAAGTATATTCACAGACGTACTGGGTGAGCCTAGTCTGCTACTGCTGTAATGCGTGTTCGTTTGCCCTATTCCAGGGCTGGGCTCCAACGTAAACTTCCTTAAGAAGAACCAGGTGGTCTTCGTTCCCGCTTTTAGGTACACCCAACTACTTCCTAAGCCCTTTCATGAACGGCTTTAAGGCCCGCCTCTGTCCGCTTACAGGACCTTCCTTGATATTGAAGCTGCGATTCTAGCTTCAGCTAAAAGCGGAGATTTGGGCTTTAAAAACAGGGCATTCGTCCAAGCATCAGATCTGCGCGAACACACCACACGCCACTACATACTGGAGATTCCAGCGGCAGCCACGAACCCTTCGTTGCTCATACGGCTCCTTTGCCAGAGATCTTTCAAGTATCCGCACTTCAAGTTTACCAAGTGTCGTCGTCCTTGATTATTGCCACTGGCCACCGGCTGCCAGACATGTCTACACGCATTGTTCCTCCGGGAAGAGGCCCGGCAACTTGGCTATTGCGCAGAAGTAAGCAAGACAAATTCACACAGGCAGCTGGAGGAAATTTCCCATATCTTTCCTTAGAAGACAACACCGGCACTTACTAATTCAAATAAACTCCAGGCCGTAATCTTGTTAACCCAAAGCAAAAGGCTTCTCGCTTGCTAATACTGCAAGCTTATGATACAGCCATTATAAAGACCTATTAAGAACGGGCGTTTCGGGAATGGGACCTCCCTGCAACCAAGGAAACGAGAATCAAGAATTGCCGAAGGATTGGCATGACTTCTGATCTGGCAGACCTAGCCACCAGCTCCAATCCCCAGGCAGGAAGCTCGGCAGCAAAGCCAGCAACCAAACCCCAGGCAGCGAAGCCAGCGACCGAACTAAAGACAAATGCTAAGACCCGCCAATTGGATTGCCGCTTAGCAGCAATAACCTATTTTTGTCACAGTAAAAAAGCTTAGTATTCACCTGGTTAAAATAACTAGAGATATCTTTGAGATTAGCAAGGTCTGGTCTCTTAGACCTGCAACTCTGATGAGCTAACAAGTTGGAGATTAACATGAGCGAAGTTAAACGGAGGCGCGCAAAGAGGGCTCGGGCTATACTCTCCCCTGCGAGTCGTGCAAAGCGGCTGACTTCAACTTCAAGAAACGTCAGTTTGATGCTGACCATTCCAAGCTAGCATGCCAACCAGTTCTCTCCAGCCTGCCCTAACAAGAATCGAATGCGCGACCACAATTCATGCGATATCTGGTTTCTCTTCGAGGTTCAAGCCTATCAGGACCGCATTATCGAAGCCGGAATGATCGCGGTGGCTCTTGCAGCTGAGGTTAGCATGCCAATAGTGCTGTTATTCCACTCTAGTCCAAGGGGTAAAGGACTAGAAACCTGTCCACCTTAGTATTCCAGCATACTTCCGCATCCTGCAAGCCCTCAGCAGATCTGCAGATTGACCGGCAGCCGACGACAGTGCGCAGTAGCACACGTTATCTCCCATCGCTCAACCTACGCAGTTCCGCAAGCTCACCTAGGGTCTTGTTTGTACTCCCCGCCGGCATAATGGAGTGGGCCTACTATTGTTGGAAAGGTTCTCTGTATCTTGTATCGGGAGGTACAGGCCGGGGGCACCCGACAGCGCGCCACCAGGACTACACCTCTACATTTCCAAGGTGTTGCCTGTTCTATGGTGAGCATGGTGTGACAGGTGAGGCTGAGGAAGCCTTCAGCGATGCAAGACAGGGTTGAGTCCTCTGCGTTGGGGCATTTACGACATTCTGGCTGACGTGATTCAAGCAAAAGCTTGTCTACAGCTGTTGGGGAGCAGGTCACATATACAGGGATCTCGACTTTGCTGGGGCGTGGTCTCTGTCACACTGGGCCTCGGTACGCCATGGCAATTCCAGTCTACATTCCGATCTGAGAAGTCATGAGATAGACACCGTTGGGATGAGACAGTTATTAGTGTTTCCACCAGCTGCGCAGAAAGCACAATACATCAAGGTGTTTGCGGAGACAACTTTAATCATCCTTACTAGATCGTTATTCTCTGATCTTTGTTAGTTCAAATAACAGGCAGCAGAGATCGTGCGTCTTAGGACAACTGTTTCCTTGAATGCGTTCTGGCAGAATTTTGGATTTATCCTCGCACTACTAACGATTGCAACAACTCATCATGATTTTCAGGTGCTTCTCATAGACATCCAAACAGACTTCTCAATCTCAGTGGAATTTGCCCTCGTTGTACATATTCTAGGTAATATGTGATCCGTAGCGTTGACTCTCAACTGCCCACCAGCCAAACATGCAACCCCTCAAGACCCCCAACCCAACGCCCTCAACCCCCTCTTCCCCCTCCAATAATTCGTAGACGCCATCAACCCCCCACACCCCCTAACAATCCACCCCCACTTCCTCACAAACCCCTCACTAACCTCCCAGCAGCTTGGATCAGCGGGATCCCCCCAAACAATCAGCCCATGCGGCCCCTGCGCATTTCCATCCCAGAACCCCATGATGTCCGTACACAGCTCCTCGTCGTCCCACTCGTTCCCGGCGCGGATCAAGTTATCGCGCATAATCGGGCACGGGAAGAGGTTTATCCAGGTGTGGTAGATACTCGCTAGTTGGAGGGGTGTGGGTTGGAGTGCGGATGGTAGGGAAGCGAGTTGAGTAGAGAAAGTCGCGGGGCGGGGGCTGGATGTCTGGATGGAGAAGGGGGAGATCGAGTCGTCTCTCATCCATTCCCAGGTTATACCCAGGGTATCCATGTTCGCGACGAAGGCGCGGTGGACGTTCACGCGCGTTAGGGAAAGCAGGTGGTCGGAGCAGGGGTTGTTCAGCGTGTAGCTGCGGTGGAACCGCGCGACTTGGGCGAGCAGGATCGCCTTTTTCCTAACGTCGGGGATGGTAGCCCACTGGGCGGCGTAATATAGGTAGCCTCCGGCTGTCCCTGATTTATCATGCGGGGGCTTTCTACTGCCGGCGTTCGTACTTGTACTTCGAGTCAGGCCTTCGGCTGGACGATGGCTAGGCTCCACGAGAACGCCTAGTGCAGCTTCGAGACTTTCAAGGCGTGCTAGTAGCGGATTCGCGGTAGCGTTGGGCCTAGGTTTCTGCTGCAAAGGTCCCGCCTGTGCATGCGCCTGCCCTGATTGTGTGGTATGGGTTTGGCCAGTCCGCTTTCTAGAGCCTGATAATTTACCTCGTTAATGACATTTCCTTAGGTATGTGGCTAGGTCGAGCACTCACGGTGAGCCCTCTGATTCGCCCGATTCTGAAGCCTTCGCCGCTCCTTCGCGTCCGTTACGCCATACCATTCGTGCGCTGACGGTCTGTCAGATGCAGTTGCTGACTGCGGAAGTTGCCGGGGGGTCATGGTGGCCAGTGGTAGGTGTGAAGTGCAGATGGAGTGAGTTAAATGCTGACAGGAGGCGGATTTTGCTCGGATGAAACGACCCATGGATCGCCCCATCGTCGAGGCCTAACCAAGACAAGCATAGCCTCGACGTCATTGCGCTAAATGCTGACCGCTAGTGATTTAGTGGTTAATCCAGCCCTAATGACGACCCACTAGTCTATAGTATAAAGGGTCATCTCGTGCTTCATCCGTGGATAGTATCTGGTTCATTGGTTGGTGGCAATCGTCGAATAGGGCCAACCATTTCCTGTTGAAGAAGGCGTCTGTACATGTAGACTCCCTTCAGTTAGAGGCGTTAGGTGGAGGAGTGGATCGTCTACGATGGACATCGGCCGCCGCCTCCCTGGCGTAGGCAAACCGTTGCGGTCGTTCTATAGCTAGGGTATACTGCAACGAGCAAGCATGTCCGTTCGTTATTGCCCTTCGCGGAACGAATAAGATTGAGGAAACTCATATGCCCACAAAGGTATCACAGGCCAGCCAACGATCTCGGTTTCCAGCTTACACTGGAGGATTTCTTCAAGACTGTCGTCGCCACATGTTCGATACCCTAGGGCATTTCTCATTCGGCCCAGAAGCATCCTGGTATTCTCAAAGCTGAATGGTGGAAAGCCGCCAACGCGTTCTTCTTCACGGATGTGCTCTTCCAATTCCTCCTCCCTCACTTCCATAAAGACGCTCGGGGTGTGCTGGATTTGGGGAAATACTCTTCGCCATTCATCAACGAGCTGCTGGAAGATCTCGCCCCGCCTCAACTCGATAGGGTCGTCGAGTTCGAGGCTGTAGATCTTGAGAGTCTTCAAGTTGCAGAACGGTGACATCTTGCGCAAGATGTCGGGCGAGATGGTGAACTCGGCGGCAGTTAGCTTGAGGATCTTGAGCAGTGGACACTGTGTTGCAAGCTGTTGGATGCCGTCAACGTGAAATGACCAGTCGAGCACGAGGCATTCCAGGCCAGGGAGGCGCGGAAAATGCCGGAAAAGTTCGGATAAGAGGATTGAGGGACGGACACTAAGCTCGCCCAGGTTCAGATGCTGCAAGGCCTTACAACCTGGCAGGACGTCAATGATATCTTTGGCATCGTCAAATGTAAAGAGGGTAACATGAAGCGAACGTAATCGATCTTTTAGCCCCGCGTTATGAGCAACAGCGCTCAGTAAAGGGTTGATACCGGCCAGAAAGAGGCTTTCAAGCTTGCTCAGCTTTGGCAATCGGACCGTCCAATTCATTTCGCCTACAGTTTTATCCCTTGGCCCCAACTGCAATACCTTCAGGTTTGGCCATGGGCTCTCCTTGCCTACAACGGCACCAAAGACATCGGATAAGCCAGGCATGACGAGAGCAAGAGATTCCAAGTTCTTCTGGTTCACTAGGACCTGGATCACTTGGGTGAGATGATCAATTGTCATATGTTCTGGTTCACCTGAATCCTCGAGATGGAAAACGGTGAGGTCGCACTTATTGATTACAGCACACATATCAGCAACATCGAAGATGGTGCCTGATTTGTAGATAGTCAAAGCCCTAATGCCGCAGAACTGTTATACCTGCCGTTAACTCTGGTTTCGCATGGGGCCGGAGTTGTGGGCGTGGGACTCACACGATTGACAGGGTCGGCAAAGCTAACGGACGCCAATGTACGACAGTACGAATCATCAATAGCGAGGAATTCAACGCTTTCGGTGAGCATTAGTTCGAAATAGATTGTAGCTTTGTGCTTAGCTTTGATTCCAAAGGGGATCATGAGGCTTTTGAAGCCTCGGCAATTGGCAAGGAGGCGCTTCGCGTAGTCGGGACGGACCAAGAACCGTAGGTATTCAAGTGATTCAATCCTTGACGGCGCTTGAAAAGTTTGCTTTCTAACTGGACACTCGGGGGCAATGAGAAGATGCTTCACGAAGTTCAGATTCCTAGCGAATCTCTCTGGCGATGAGACATGGAGGCAATTCAGCGACGTGATGTCAGGAGTCCTGAACTGCATGTCGTACATAGTCCCCTCATACAATTTCGGCAGTGCGAGGGTGTTCCATGTCGTGTTTAAGCAAGCACATTGCAGAAGTTCGCGAGGACCAAGACGGCTAAGGACGTTGCAGATAATCTCCGGGAGTAACAGGGGGTTTCGTGTCGGCTCCAACATGGTTGTCGTCGCTCGGCTGAGGTTGGCAGGCGGCTTGTCGCTCCTAGTGAAGTCCCGGTCCGTGTCTTTAAGTGTAGAGAGTTAAATGACCAGGGTAGTCCAGCTAAGGTAATGGACGTCGTTGGCCGGTCTGGACCAGTGTGGACTTGACTGTAAGTGGAGAAAAAAAAACACAACCGATGGAGCGGCAGCATGTTTCTCCGAGTCATCCCGGTACCGGTACGGTACCGGTACTGTTACCGGCCTAGGCAAGATCAAGGACGAAAAGCCGATTGCAGGGTGGTGCCCATTGCTGGCATATGTTGCCTTGTGTCGAACTTCTAGTGTTAGGTACCAGGTTAACTTTGTGGGAGGGTAGCAACATCATCTTGCGTTTCAGGTGCATAGATACGTCAATCCAACACATCGCGGTTGTATCACGAGAACCACCTCTCAAAAAATTGACACCGTATGCGCCGGGCAACAGGTAACTGAGCAGAAGCCCATTCGATCAACCTAGAGGTGATAGGTAGAGTGCGATTCTGCCTGGTCTAACTCCCCCAAGCGCACAACCGGCCACCCAATGACTTCAGTCTCGAGTTCGCGCTGGTACACATACTCGACATCGCTGTCGATCCAGTCCCTGTGGCCGAGCACCGTGGACAAACGCGCTGTCAAACAGTCGGAATCATTGGGGTGTTCCCAGCTTGCCTCGGAGCTGTACTGCAGATGGTCTCGGATATCCTGCTCCGTAACGGGGTAGCCTGTATCCGTTGGTGTTGGGCAGGCGCGGAGCTTAGGAAAAATTCGCCTCCATTCCGCTGCTAATTGCTGTAGCCCGTCCCCTTGGATCCATTGGCGGGGGTTGTGGAATAATATCTCCGACACCTTCATTACCTTTAGCTGCGGGAGTGGAGGAATGGTTCTCAGTGTCACGATATCTGCGTTCAGTTCAAGGGGATACAGATTCAAGATGGTGATTTGTGGGCACTGTATTGCGACGTGTCGGAGGACCTGGATGTCCAGGTTAATTTCCCAGTACATTGAAAGACACTCCAGAGAGGGCAGAGACGGTAGACGCTCGTAAAACCGCGCATAGAGTTCAGGCGGGTCACCTCCAACGCTACTTATCTCCCCGAGGCTGAGTTTCTGGAGGCGATGACACCCAGGTAGGATATCAAGGAGTGGCGCTGCGTCATCGATGTCATAAACCTCGAGATGCAGCATCCGTAATCGATTTTTGATTTCAGGTTCACGGCCGACGATGCCCAAAAGAGGGTCAACGGATCGCAGACTAAGCATCTCCAACTCGGTGAATTTGGGCAATCGTATGGGTCCCCAATGCCTGTCGCCGAAATTTCCCACAGACAATGCTTTTAGGTGTGGCCATGGGTTTCGAACTAACAGCTGTTGGGCAATGGTTGAATATACCTCTGGGATGATCAAAGCCAAGGCTCTAAGATCTCTCTGTCGTTTCAGGCAGTCAATAAGCTGTCTGACATTGGAGTCGCTCATGGGTGTCGGGTCGCGCAAGTCCTCAATATGGAAGAAGCGGAGATTGCACCTGTTGAGAAGCGAGCAGAGACTTGTCACATTCTTGCTGGCGCCTGACCAGTAGATGGTCAGGGCTCTTATATTTTCAAGCTGATTGTCTGCTGGTTAGATGAACATCCCATCCTTGGTGCAAGAACAGAACAATCATAGAACAGGACTTACACGGTTGGCGGTCATGTGCTCGCTGTCTAGAAACCGACAGAACTCGTCGTCAATAGCCAAGAACTCGACAGATGGTGTGAGAAAGACGTCCATGAAGTCCCGCTTCCTCCATCCGTAAATTCCAAACGGGACCATGAGGCTTTTGACTCGGGGATTGTGTGATCGGAAGAGACTCTTAGCATATTCCGGATCACGCATTGGACGAAACTCCTCCAAAGCAACAAGCTTCTTCGGCAGACCGACCTCTCTTTTGTCGACAGTGTTCTCGGGAGCTATGAGCAGATGCTTGACATTTCCCATATGGCGGGCGAAGCGCTCCCGAGAGGCAACATAGAGACAGTTCAGGGAGATAATGTCGGGTGTTCGGAACTGCATGTCCCATGTTGAACCCTCGTACATGCGCTTTAAGGCTATAGTGCTCCATGTCCGGTTGACCTGAGCGCAGCTTGCGAGGTCTCGCATACGAACATTTTCAAGAACATTGCTAACAATCTCCGGGAGCAGGAGAGGATGGTGCGGTTGGTCCAGCATTGTCGTGGATCCAGAGAAATGCTCGAATTCTTAGTGGGATGGTAAAGAGAAAGACGCAGTACGGTCAATGCTTGGCTCAATTTGGCAAGCAGCTTCCAAGACGTGAACACAGTCTGTATATCTCCGCGCGTAGAAGTAGATCGAAATATCCAAAGGTAGAGGTAAAGTAGGTCTAGCCTAGCTTCAGGATACTGTAGACTGTAGGGAGGTACCGTAAGTGGAGAGAAAAACCACAAGCGACAAAACACACAGGGTGGAGCAACGTTCTTCCGAGTTGGGTGGACTATACGGTAAAGGGCTGGCACGACCGGTATAAAGTATTGACCTGAGGCAAGAACCTTGGAATCTATATCGACAGTGATTCTCCAGTGTTCTCGGTAAGTCTCCTCGGATCTAGTGGGTGGTGAGCTCTATCTAGCGTAGCTATCTACGGAGTAGCATAGTCCGCCCATAGACTACGTCCATTCCATATCAATTCTTATTCTTAGCCACTGCATTGATTAAGAGCGAGGTAAGAGCCCGAAAGTAGTAGATTATGCGATCATCCTATACCTAACCATGGGACAGGTAAATACATCTGACAAACCCCCGAAAGTCACCTCCTAGTACCTACCTCCGTCATTGACGAGCATTAGGATGATACGAGGACAAAGGCACGATTGGCCAACCCATGATCTCCGTCTCCAGATCATCCTGCAACTTCTTGAGTTCCACGGCTTTATCATTGGGCGACTTCCACGGATACCTCGATAACGTGACAAACTGCCTGGTCCAATTGAACAAGGGAGATCGAGTCTGCTTTGATATTTTGCGGGGATACGGTTCGCCTGGGAATCGTTGCAGATTAGGGAAGATCCGGCGCCACTCGGCGACGAGGTCTTCCATCATGCTGCTTTCCGTCATTTGGTAAGTCTGCTTAAGCAGGTCATAATCCCCCAAGGAGACTTTGAGGAGTGTTATCCTCTTGATATTGGGGAAGGAGGGCATTTGTTCCAGCGAGTTAAGTGAGACAGTCAGGTGAGTTGTCGGCATCTCAAGAACGGTTAGTCGTGGGCATTTCACCAGTATAGTGTCATGCATGGTGGCTACGCGCCGGGGCCGCCCAATGTGCATGTAATCATCTTCCGGCGCAAAGACGAGGTATTCCAGTGAGTCCAGAAGCGGGAGGGATGCAAAGGATGTACTTTCCAGTGGGAACTGAGTCCCAAAGCTGAGCCACCGCAACCGGTGGCAACCTGATAAAACATGAAGTAGATCGCGTACGTCACAATGATCAATCTTTTCGAAGCGTAGCATTTTTAATCGGTCTCTGCAGGCGGCGTTCAAATGAGTGTACATTGGCAGGTCGACCATTTCAAGTTGGCTATATGCATCCAGTGGGCTGGCGGACATCCAGTCTGAGTCTTCGGTTATCCAAGAGGGTATGCGCAATACCTTCAGCTCTGGCCATGGTTTTCCTTCTCGCATCAAAGGTATCAGTCGGTGAGACACCCCGCGGGTCAACAACACGAGAACTTCGAGGTCCTTTTGTCGTGCGAGACAAGTAAGGAGCTGGTCAGTCCTCTCGGTGGCCCAAGGCCGACGGTTTCGTGCATCTTCGTAGAGAAAGAAGCGCAGGTCGCACTGATCAATCATTGAGCAAATACTATCAACGTCTATTTCAGGACCTGAACTGTAGATAGTGAGTGCCCTGGTACCTTTAAGCTAACTTGGTGATTAGATTTCCATTCTTTTAGTAATCTTTGACTTGAGACTTACGCGGCTGCTGTCAAAGCCTCTCCTGGGATCCAGATATGAACAGAAGGAGTCATCAATGGCCAAGAACTCGATTTTGGGGGTCACCAAGACGCTGGTATACAACTGACTGTCAGCAGGCGAAGCGGGCTCGTACGGCATCGAGAGGCTTCGAACACGGGAGACGCTCTGCGCCAATCGCAGTTCGCGTAAGACGTGGAAGCTTTCTCTAGCTATCCATTTTCGATCCTCTTCCCTAAGGTACTTCTCCTTTGGAGATACGAGGAGATGCTCTACCAAGCTCATGTTTTGGGTAAAACGAGCCGGAAAAGCCTCGGACATGGCATTCAGCGAGCTGATGTCGGGTGTCCGCAGCTCTTGGTGTTGAAGAGAGCCTCTATACATCTTCCTTGAGGCTACTGTATTCCATGCAGGGTTCGCCTGCACACAATTCCCAAGATCGCGAACGTTCAGGTACTCAAATACCATCTCGAGGATTTCCGTTGGCAAGCGGGGTCCATGATCGTCGTCGGGCGTGAGAAAGGTCTTTGGATCAGACATTGCAGCTTTGCAGAGCGGGTATGTAAATAGATTGCCGCGCTCACTCTGTTGCCTGGACAGAGTATACCCAGGTTCCTGATGGGTTTCAGAGACAGAGGGTGGGGATGGATCCAAGCTTGGACGCACCGAGTGGAGGAAAGCTTGAAGAGTCGAAGACACTCGAGAAAGCGGGGGCCTTGGAATACTTAACATTATTCCAGTGTTGGACTCTCAATTACGCAGTGATCGACTGAACGCGTGAGAGCAAAAGTACCAAAGGCAAAAGTACTTCAAGCATGACCACCATGCATGCAACATAGCAAACACTGACATGCTGGCCTGGGCCCCTCAATGTCACTTGGCAGCGCAGAACAGAGCATAATGAGACCTTGTCAGAGTTGACTGGCATTGAATCGATTGAAGAATGTTGCCTTATCGCTTATGTTTGTGTTTGTGTGTCTTGCCATTCTTATACATATATTAGCCGACTAGCACTTGGTTACCTTGGGATGAAGCGGCCAGTATGGAACCTTGCGGCCAACCCCCTCGAATTGAACAGGCTAAACCAGCGACGTTTCTTCTGGGTCGGGAATGATACCCGACAGTCGAGGACTCGGTATATGGACAGTTCGCATCTCGATAAACCCATCTGCATCCGGCTCCAGGGTTCTCGGCACCTCCACTGACGACCTCGAATGCATAGTCGCAGTGCCCGGGTGACTCGCAAACGACGTGAGCGGAAATTGGTCTCTGCCCATATACGAGTTCCTCATTATCCTCGCTCGCACTGGCTGCGCATCAATGCCACTGTTGTCAGGCGATGCGAAATGGATATGGTTGGAATGGCTTTGTCCGTGACTCGAGGAATGGGATGAAAGAGCCTTTCGGATGGAGCTCCCCCATCTCGCGAAGAGAGGACTGTTCAAGCTGTTCTGAACAACCTTTGGCACTGAGGGAAGACAGCCCGCAATCACCCCGCCCGCCATCTCGGGGTGCGTCCAGGCGGTAACGTACCACACATAGTATGACTTATTGTTGTTGTGATACATCAGGACAGAATATACGAGTTTGATGATCCCGGAGGCGCAAGATCTATGTGACGGCCAGTCATCGATCTGTCCAAAGCGAGATGGAAGGATAGAGACCTACATGAGACCAACTGAAAAGACAGCGGATAATGCAATCTTTGTGCGGAGCGGCATCTGCAGGCCCCAGATACGTGCTTGTGGCAGGGCCAATATGATTATGTTCGACAGGGCATTCAGCGAACTCATCGAGACGATGATCCCGAAGTTGTCAATGCATTCTCCGCCTGCGATCATATCTCCGCCTGCGATCATATCTCCGCCTGTGATATCTCGAATCCAACCTGCGGAAACAGGTCGGCAGCGAAAGATGGTGGCGACTGCGCTTATAAAGTGGTACATAAAATTGAGCAAGATGAAGCCATGACAGCACCAGAAGAACCAGTCCCGTTGTCTGTGGGCAAAAAGTTCGAGGAGTTGCATCAGAATCGAGAGCTTGATGGAGAAGGTGCCGATCCCATAGAGTAAGAGTGCAATTTGTTCGTACTAAGTAGTCTTCATCAGCTTAGGTAGCAGGATAGGCATTCCGAGGACTCACGTAAAGCAACTGGATCAGCTCCCTCAGTCGTATGTTCCACTGGTCTACTCCAGAATATTCTCCGGCCAACAATAAAACGGCGACATACCCCATACAAAGTGCCCATGCTAGGATCGTGACAACTGAGATATCAGCCTCTGCAGCAGCGGTTGTACTTGTGACTTACAATCAGAGAGTCGCCATTGTCGAACCACGAATGCTTTCGCGTAGAGTCGGATAAGGAAGCAGACAGTCGCCACGCTCCATAATGAGAAGAGAATGGCATATCCCTCGGACGTGAGATTTGGAGGATCCTCGAAGTTTGAGACCTGTCCAGGAGGAGGAGCAAGCCCTGGGCCTTCAAGGAGAGCTTGACGCTCCTCTGGTGAAAGAGCTTCCATGATTAACGATGTTCATAGGAAGGTAACTTGAGACACCCAGGGATGTGGAGCATTGGAGATTTTGCTGAAAGCTCATGCACTCCAGATTCGTGAGTCAATAGGAACGGAAATCACACGTAGGGGTTTCTTTGTTGACCTACGTAGTCAGTTGCCATGTACCAGTGGCCCGCCCCTCCCATTCAAGAAGTTTCAAATTTCGAACAAAGGGCTCAAAGCGAGGGTGCGATCGGATAGGACGGCGAATATTTTCCAGAATCTGGAGCTCTGACTTTGAAGAGGTCGATGCTTCCGTCAACCTGCATGAACCCCAGGGCATTTTCATCGAACCATCGCACGCAGGGCAAATCGAATCCAGAGTCTTGACTGATCATCCATCATGGCTGATGGTATCCTGGGTCTGGTGACAAGATACCCCATTAGTTGCTTTCTTGCCGTCACTTCGGCTTGGAAGGACCGCAGCCATGTCTTTTCCTTGACGAATATGGCGTCTTCTCTTTGTTTATAGCCGCCCCTCTTGCCACAACTGTCTCTCGTGCCTATTGTGCTAGTCGGGAGTATGAGTAGCAGTCAGACAGCCTTAATTGCGCTGCTCTTCAGAAGTCCTGCAGCGGGCCTTGCCGGGTCCTGGTGCTCGCCGTAGCCGCGTTTGTTATTTCCGATCGAACCGTTGGAATCGCACATGAATGAGCTGCAGGGCATCCGGTGGTATCCGTACTCTGAGGCTTCGCCCGAGGATGACATGGCCATCAATCTCAGGAAAGAGAGTTCGGAAAGGGCATCCGCTCTTGCACGTGGTTTCTACCCCGGACCAAGTCCCTGCGGACCACAACCCTTGTCTAGGACGATCGATGTCTCATAGCGCAACTGGGTAACCGGGCTATTCGAGTATAGTGTATTGGCCATGTCGCTTTACACGAGTCGTAATTTCGCCGAACTATGGGTTGGCACTCGCGAACAATGCCGAAGCAAGCGTGCGGACCTCTAACAATCCCCTCCTGTAGGGCGATGGTACCCAAAAGCTGATGACGGTCGTGCAGGACTTGACCTCGAGACCACCACACCTGCTCCAAACGGTACTGTCCGCGATACGTTCCCAGACCCCTACGCGCCACTCTCGCAGACTTCCAGTGTAAGATCGCTGGTTTCGGGGGTGCTAGCGGGTTCTCGTGCGTGGGCGCTGAAAATGGCAGTGGCGTCGCCAACGGCGAAATCGCAGGCAGAAAACTGTTGCCGTCAGTCATTCAACTTTATTCCGGAACCAAAAGCACACTCATCAAGAGACATCAAGAGCTGAAGCCTTCGTTCCCTGGCCGGCACCTCCCTGCCGGCCTTCCAATGCGCGTCGGGGTCTCGCTAGGACGGTTTTCATCCATCGCTGGATCTTCACACGCCGGCATTGAGTAGCTGCCTCGCCCCCATTCTCCTCAGAGAGGTGCTGCAGAAGACGCACTCGAGCGCGAGACGGTGGAAGACAGAAAGTCTTGGGAACCGGAATCCCCTCAAATCCTCTTCTGGCCCCGTGACCAGGCCATCGTTGCGCCTTCCCAATTCGAGACACAGGAACACTCAGCTTCCCTGCCTTCGCCAGATTCTCGCCCTCGTACTCGCGTCTTATCGGTGTCCGTTCAAGTCGAGTCAGGCCCAAATCGCCGCGTTTCTTCCCGTCCTTGCGAAGGAAGAGACCCGATTCCTAAGTCGATGCATCCCAATCGCGCTGCTCAATCCTGCCTTGCGTACAGTAGCAATCTGCCTTCGAAAGTCCACGAGATACGGAGTTTCGCAAGCTTGAAAGGATGGATGGAATCGAGCTTTCCGTCGGCCGGCCTCTGCTCCTCCGGTCATGAAGAGTGGTGTTATGCCGATTCTGAAAAGCAGCCGCTTCTCTCCAAATGCGAGTGATGGGCTCAGATGCAAAACGCGAGGTGTGTATTCCAATCCTGAGGCCAAACAAGATGCTTACTAGGCTCAGGTTTACCCGTGCAGGAGTTTGATCTGGTTCACTCCACTGTGCTTCCACTGGATTCTGGCTACATTGCATATATCACGTGCACCCCTTCACCAAGTATGCTTTCAGCACAATTGGCACAAATCAGGGTGCTAGAAGACAGAATGACATTTATTGGACATATAGTAAGGCAGCATGGGGTCCCGAGCTGTCCATGGAATGTTATTGGAGCACTTACTGCCACGGGTAGCTGCATACTCTGTGCTGATGTGAATTACGGATAGCTGCCTGAGGAGTGAATCTATTTGGAAGAACACCAGGAGCTACTCTGCACTGCCGTGCACTCTTCTCTTGCTCAAAGTCCATAGCAACGCTTATACTTTGTCCAATCTGGAACCTCCCCAATCACCTCTTTCGCAGTGTCCTAAGCACTGTATGTTTACAACTTGCCTTAAGCAAGTATCACAACCCAGCTGCCATAGCTTTCCACTCTGTTTCCATTCCGAGTCTCGTTCTTCATCTTCGCAGGCTGCGCAGGAGCAGGACAACCCATCGAGCCACTCGAATTCGTGATCACTCAACTCATCTTCATCAAGACATCTTTCCGCCTTTGAGTGTCCGTCAAAGCCATCCATCCAGCCAAGGTCAAGCCACAGGTGTTACGGCCTCATTCTCATCAACTGAATTGAATTCCCGAGTACTCTCTACCATCCAACTGCGTTCTTCGATATGACCAAGCATAATAAGAAGAACGGCAAGAACGGCAGCCATCGCTGGTACGTTTCCACTCTCCTCCCTTCCCTACTCCAGGAATCAACCCTCCATCCAACCACTCCCTCTCTCTAACTGTCAACAGCGGCCGCTGCGGCAACCGCCTGTCCGAGGCCTGCAAGCGCAAAGGCCACATGGTCCCCTGCCCCATCCACACGGACGCGCACCATGTCCCGGGCGACGAGTGCGTAAGCTGCAAGGAAACCAGACATGCCGAGGAGCGCGTGGAGAGATCCGAGCGCGAAGCCGCGAGGGAGGCAGAACGGAGGGCGGAAGAGGAGAAGGCGAGAGAGGAGCTTCTGGGTGCAGAGAGCTTGAAGAAGAAGAGGGAGAAGGCGGCGAAGAAGGAGAGGGATAGAGAGAAGAGGAGGCAGGATATCGAGGGGTATGGACTCGGTGAGGATCGCATGAAGAAGGTGAAGAAGTATGCCAAAAGGGGATAAGTAGGGTGTCCCCGCTTGTCCTTTGCTTTCAATTCTTGGGGATCGCCCCGGGTATCGGCATGGTCAAGTATACCTAAAGTAGGTCTTGCGCGGACTGCAAACAGAGGCTGGAAAATTCTCACTAACGTGCACTAGGCTTTCAGCGTTTGGCAAGCCACGAAAGGAACGAACGCTAAGCTACTAGATGGCGAATTTGTATGATTTCAGCTTGGGCATCGTCATTTCTTCTCATTTCTTCTTTGGAGACCCTAGATGTTGGATGGAGTATGCTAGAATACCCGGACATAGATGGATGCCCCGTCCTTTGGTATCAACCAGATTTCCAGGACCTCCAAGATCCAATGGAGATATTGATCGAATCGTACCTGTTTCTTTGAGGATTCGCTTGAACCAAGAAGTCTATTGTCTAGATCTATTGAAGTTCCCAGCGAAACACTGCTTTGTGCGTGGACCATGTATGTAGACAAGACACAATGAAGTCTAATCCGATCTAACCCCCCAAGTTCTATTTCAAAATTGTAATGCGCGGCGAGGAAAGCGGTAGATGAAGAGTAATATGTATGTATATTCATTCGTCGTAGATGTGGTATCGCAGGTGAAGCCGAAGCTAGATTATGTATGTTGGATTCGTAAGGTTGGATTACGTAGATAGCCCAGTGCAATAGTAGGCAGGTTGATGGCTGAAGTTGAACTTCGGCTGCAGAGATCCAGGCTCTTGTGTCTTGGGCGGAGAATGGAGGTGGTTATAGTGACGCCTTTAGAGGGGCTGGGTCGAAAGTCTTCTAGACATATGTTGGGCGATGAGGTTGGTGCGAGGGGTTTTGCGGCGATTAGGGAAGAAGAATCGACGAGCGAACGTCCTCCATCGTGTCAACCCAGTCCTCAGGGAAGGCTCGCCGCTTGAACCACGCCTTCTCAAGTTCTTCAAGACCCTTCTCGACGTTCTGCGATCCATTAGCACAATCCACCCGAAAATTGAGTAGAGCGCTTACCTTAAACCCGTACCGCTGCATATCAATCATCGTCTCGCGGACAAATTTCTGCTCGCACTCATCCCGGCTCTCCCGTCCTGCAATGAAGAGCGGCCAAGTGGCGGCCAGCCGCCCGACGCCTTTCGCTAACTTGCTGATGAGCGCAAGAATCCTGGTGCAGAAAGCGGCTAAGAGGTCTCGTTGGGGCTCGAGATCCGGCCGCGCAGCGGCTGCGACTTTGTGCAGGTAGATATTTGTCGCTTTTTCGTAGGCTTCAATGCAGCCAACATACTCCAAAACATCAGGGTGCGGGTACTGCGCTAGACTGACGTCGTCTAGATCTCCTAACTTCTGTAGGCACTCCGGCGCGTTGAGGCGCCACTGCACTAATCGCTGTAAAAGCTCTTGGTACATGAGATCCTGCTGCTCGGGCGTCATCCAGCCCGACTGCTTTGCTTTACCGAACGAGCTGATGGAGGCCTGTATTTCCATCATGATAGACCAGCATTGGCGCAGTTCGAGGAGTAGGCCGTTGTCGGTGGCTGGTTCCGAGAGACTGGGTATTCCGAGGTTGTATTCCCAGCCGCCGCCGAGCGTTCGCCAGTAGCTTCCTTCGACGACAGTGCCGTCGCTGGTGGCGCATGCCCCGGCTACGTCGAGGTAGGACAGGAGCGAAACGAGAAAGCGCCGAAGAGGGTGGTTCATTTCTGCGACGCGCTGGGCTTCGAGGGTTGGGTCGGGGTTTGGGTAGAACATCCATCGGTAGATCTCGCGGGCGCCTTTCAGATGAATGGCCCAGTTGTGATGTTGTGAGTCCATCATCTAGACGGGTCAGTATGCCGCAGTCAAAAAGATTGAAGTGACAAACCTCAAACAGAGCTAACAGCAGACAGGTCGCGAAATCTGGAAGCCGTGATCGCTGGCCAATTTCGTACCTCGTCCTAAACGACTTGACGACCTCGCCGTACTTGCCCATAGCATGTTGGAAATGCACATTCCGTTGCGGGCCGGTTGACGTGTTTGCAAGGTGCAGGGCCCCCAGAGCTTCCATAGCGCTCGCCATCGACACCGAAGATTGAGACACGTCGGGAAAGCATCGTCGAAACGGATTGACATTGGTGGAAGTATCGTAAATGAGTAAAAGCGTAGCGACTTCGTTAACGAAATGTGTATAATAACGGCCCTGCAGGCAGTCCAATGACGATGGTAATTTGTGGTGCTCGAAAATGTACTCGATCGGTTTCACATTCCCCGCCGTCCGTGCGAGCACCAACTTCTCATCCTCAGGCTCTTCCTTCACTTTCCCTTTTTCATCATCGGGTATAGAGGCAACAGACGGTCCGATGATCGGGTTCTCGAACCGGAACACCAACGGTTTGGAATCGGGAAAAGTCGTCGGCGAGACCACCACGCCTTCCACATCCGTATCTTCCTTCTTGACTTGTTTCTGGCCCGCCCTCGATTTCGATTTCTCCCGTTTCGTCGGTGAACTTGATTGCCCGTTCGGCGGCGCTGGAGGTCCATAGACCTTGAATGTCATCCGTCCCTGACTTCCATCGCATTCCAGTCCCAGTCGAGTACAGTTCCGACAGGTCGGAGAGGCTTCATCGCAGCGAACGTGGCGTCTGCGACAGGTCGAGCAGCCGGTGAACCCGCGGTGATGCCATCGGCGAACGCGCTTCTTCTTGTCCGGTTGAGGTGGTTCGTTATTTGGTGTAGACTGAGGAGGCTGCGCCGGATCACAGACCATCGTACGAGCCTCCATGGGGAGAAAGATCGACGGTGGGAGAGCTGGAAGGGAGAGACATGGAGGGGCGAGGAGGTCGTGTGCGGGCGGGGAGTGGGGAGGCAGCGCAATGAGGGGAGTCGATTGATTAAGGAGACATCGTGAGCGTATTCTATGGATCTATGATTCAGCGAAAGGACAATTGATAAATGAGCGAGTGAAACAGGGAGCGAAAGATGAGATGAAAGCGTGGGAGAGAGGGAGAGAGGGAGAATGTCGAGAGCCGGGGGAACTGGGACTGGAGGCCCAAGACTTCGTGGAGAAGAGAAAGCGCTGGATCCGTGGGGCTGGTGCTTGGGCCGGAGCAGCCAACCACCGCCCGCCCTGGCGTCCATCACAGATCAGTCTAGCTGGCACTAGCAGATCACCGGAATCATTCCGGTCACTCAGCGCGCTCCCTGGGGGCGATCCACGGTTATGGTGACCGCATCGGCCTCAATAGCCTCTGCGCTTTGGGGGCCGTTTTATGGGCCCGTCAATCTGCACGGGGTCGTTGCAAATCGTTGCGCTCAGGACTCGCCCAGACAAGGGTGCTCTTGCATTTCCCCCTCCACTCGGGCGCTTAATTAACCTTCTTGTTTGTGTATGAGCTCATGCGCTGATCTTGGTGATCTTTTTCGTGTTCTTAAACCCCTCATGCAGGCTGCAGTAGCCTTGTCTCGGCAGGAACTGCTCTTCGCGATCAGCCGCCACCGAGGTGTAAGATCTAGTCACAACGCATTATAAATAGAAACTCATAAGAGGAATGAAAGGGTAAATATATGGCTTACAGCGGTTTAAGACACATACTGAGTATATGGGTAAGAAATTATGTGCTTTCCACTTTTAACAGGTGTTCGCTTTGTGGAAATGCTGAAATATATATTTGCGTACTGCATAGCAGCACGCATTGAAGCATTACATTCTCCATGAAAGTCGCAGAATGGATCAATGAAAAGGCAATGTTTATTATTACTACTATATTGCTCTATTATATGTCTAATTCAAATCAAAACCAAAACACTTTTTGTCCTCTGCGATGTTTTCTCAACTCCAGCTTGCCCGGATTCTGGTCTTGGCAAGGATGGAGCATGGTGGGCCCATGAGAAATTCGCCAAGCCTAACCTTCGATGGGGTACTTCGGCGTTCCAGGCTCGCCGGTGTCGGTGTCGCGTGCAGCCTGATGACTCGAAACCCGAGAAACCTCTTCCACCGTCTCAGTAACGACACCCTTGCTATCAACAAAATTCGAAATGCGGTCCCGAGGCAACCACGCATCTTCCGGCATAACGAAGTACGAGACGAGCGCAAAAATGGTAACGGCGGCCATGATGATGGGTGCGTAGTTCAGATTTTCGCCGGTAACGGGGAAGGCGTACGGTGAGAACAGAACTGCAACGACCCAACCGTTCCACAAGACTCCGATAACCTGGAATGGCTTGGAGAGGCGACCGAGACTCCACGCGGGCTTGGGGAAGCGCTTGGGCGTGCAGATGAGACGCGCGAGACAGATGAGGCCGTAAGCTGCGGCAGAAGGGACACCGGCTGCCGAGACGAGGGACGTGAACGCCACGTCGGACGGCAGCAGGGTGCAAGTGATGATGGATGCGACCGCCCAGACGACGATAACTGCGTTGCGGGGCTGACCGTTATGGACCTTGGAGACCCAGGAGGAGAAGGGGAGGACACCGTCACGTGCGACAGCGAAGACAAGACGGGATGAGGCTACGATCGCGATCGCGGTATTCTGAAAGGATGAAATTAGTGGCTTACTCATAAGAAAGAAGAAGTGGTGATGGACCATACCAGCCAGAGAGCAACTATGCAGATGATGTTCATGAAAATGTGCCCGCCTTTACCAAGAACGACAGCGTAGAGAGGAACGAACGGCTGTGGGGAACCAAACTCAAAGAGCTTATCAGGAGTGGGCTAGATTCGCGTCAATACTGGGCTGGAATGCGGATGAGGGAGCATGCTTACTGCACAGAAGAGGAACAGAATGATGGTAGCGAGACCGCCAACTCCACTTGCCACGGTGCTCCAGAAGATACCGCGCGCAGCGGTAATATTGGCGTGCTTTGTCTCTTCCGCGACGTGGCCAGAGGCGTCAAATCCGATCAGGATACCGGCAGTGGCGAGATACGAGAGACACCAGTTCCAACCTGCAGGCGCGCCGGTGCCATTGTACGTGGACATAAAGGCTTCCTCGGCAGTCCTAAAGCCCCAGGTGTTGGCAACTCCAATCGGAAGCCAGATGACGTTGAGGAAGAAGTCCAGCATGACGACTGCGGACGACAACCAAAAGACGTATCTGAAATATTTGGCTGCTGAGGTTAGTTCGTGCTCACTAAAGGATGAAGAAAGCTTACGCGGCATGAAGTTGAGTATGGCCGCGAGTGCGAGGAGAATCTCGGTGACGATCCATTGCACAGCGCGAAATTTGACGCTCGAGGTATCCTTGGGGAAGTCCACATCAAATACCGTCAATTCCTGGGGAAGATTAGCACGATTGCCATAATCGGCAAAGGGGCCACCTACCGAAAGCATGTAATTTGTCGCCGACTGCGTGTTACTGGCGCAGAAAGTTGTCCACGCAGTGGTTGACCACCACGCGACGATGAATCCAAGCAATCTACCGTATTTGGGACCACCTGCCTCAGCAGCCCAGAGGTAGATTGATCCGGCCGAAGGCGAAGCCGAACAAACCTCTGCAACAAGGGCGGCAGTGATGAAAGTAAAAACCATGGTCACCAGGTAACTCGTCCTGGTCCGATTAGAACAGCTGGGCAGTATTTGCGAGGGAAACAAACCAGTAAGCCAGATTTCCTCCAGCCGCTATACCAGTGCTGAAGGTGACGCGCACACCACCAATAAAGTACAGCGCAGCTGAGACGTGGTCAGGAATGATATTGTCGCTTTCTCGCGAGAGGCTCACCGAATGTAGTCGCAAAGTTCTCAAAGAATGTGTATGTCCGATGCAGGACCTGTTACGCATCAGGCTAGCTCCCTCCGAGGTTGCGCACCAACTTACTGGCTTGTAGCCCATTGTTTTCTGAAGTCATGTTAGAGATACCCCGGATGAGTCAACATGGTTGGTCACTTACCAGAAGAGCCGCATCATCCTGAGATGATGTTTGACTGCGGGTTTCTTCCGCGAAAGGGTTTTGCTCAATGAGCTGATCATGCTGGTGACTGGGCGACATGGTTTATACAGCGCGCAACAAATCGCGACAGAAACTCAGAGAACAGGGCTTCCCGTCCGCTCAAGAAAGAAGCGTGGGCGTAGACGCAGACAAGTCCTTTTCTCTGGCTATGCTGATGGCCGTTGAAGACTGCGACAAACCCCGCTTCAGCGCAGTGATGAGCAGAAAAAAACAAAAATGGTATGATCAACCGCGAGCCATCAAAGCATGCCGAAGGGTTCACGCCAGGTTGAGAAAGCCAGTCGCCACGAGGAGGAGGTCGAGATTTATTGGATTTGACGTTGATGGATAAGATTAGTCGGAAATGTCTGGTCCGCAGATTTCGCTGCACGCAATCCAATTATCCACCAGGAACACGCCTTGCTGCCAATGGTCGACCGTCGAGGTGCTTCCGTGGGTCGCGGCCGGGAGCTTAGCAGAGCCACTAGAACGCGGGCAAGAGGCAATGTCAACAGGGACGGCGTCGCGAATTATGGTCGGTATGCGAGGTTGAGGTGCAGTATGGTTCAAAGGGGATAATAGCTGAATTGGATTGTTTTGTTTGGCTGGAGTACCATCTCGTAGACTGTTCGCACCGCAGCAAGGGTCAGAAACAGAGCAATCAACCTCGTCTCGAGGAAGAATCAAGGTTCGGGATTTGACCCACCGTGAAAATTTTGAGGGGCATTACGGAGAAGGCCCGAGCTATGACTCTTGGATGATGAAGAGACTCTGCAAGCTGATGGAAGAAAGGGATTGTTCTGACAGCAGTAGTCTAATCGACACCGAACGGTTCAGCCATCAGCCGTCTTGCTGAAGCATCCAAGGAATGGTGAGCGACCGGGCGGGGAGCATTCACGTGACATGTCAGAAATCGAGTGACACCTGAGCAGTAAGGCAGTAAGGCATCAACACGATCGGAGATGCGAACCGGAGCCACAGGCGTTTTGGTGGAGTCAGATATGCAGTGGCTGAGTGGCATGATGGCCCTGCCGTAGCCTGTCTTCGAGAAGCGTGTTCTAGAAAACGGGCAAATGGATAACACAACCTTACTGTGTCGGACAAGAGGTGGAGATCCCTTGGATCTCCGCGGTAAACTCAGTTGGATGACTCCAACTGACCTCCAAAAATAGGAAAAGAATTAACCTTTAACTTTGGCCGGATCTCACGGCCTAATTAGGAAATAAAATATAAAAAAAAAGGGATAAATATAACTTAAATTTTTTTATATTTAGCTATTAAACTTTTATATTTTTATTTATTTTAAATTTTAAAAAATTTTATATTTTATTTACCCCTTGATTTTTATTTTAATTTTATATAACTAATTTTTACCTAAGGTATTTATAACTTTAAAAGTTATAAGCCTGGTTTATACTTTACTTTTTTAAATATTATTTATATAATTATTTTTAAAGCTATTTATTACTTAAATTTAAACTTTTAAAGTTCTTTTTATTTACTATATAATATATTATAAAAAACCTTTAATTTTTACCTGTAAATGCCTGGTTTAATATTATTATTTTAAATAGCCTTAATACATGGCGCCTATAATATTAAATTACTAAATTAATAGCTATAGGCCTTATAATATAAAATTATATTAATTTTTTAATTAATAATAAAAACCTATTACCTATTTTTATTAGCCCAAGGCTAATTTTTAAAAATTACTACTTTAATATTTTTAAAAAAGGTAAACTTTAAATAAGTTATTTAATAGCTAATAAACAAGGTAAATTTTATATTACTATAAAAAAATATTTTACCTAAAAAAAAAAACATAAAGCTTTGCTAGGTATAATAATAGCTTATATAATTTTAATTATATTTAGCTTTTACTAGTAACTTTTATATAGCTAAAAATATTTATATATAATACTTTAACTTTTTATAAAGTATTATACGCAATTTAATATTACCTATTAAATAAAAATTAAGGCAAAATAAAAAAAGGCAGCTATTTATTAAGGCCTTTTTATTAAAAAGTAAATTAATAATTAATGTAACCGCTAGGTTAGTATATTTATTAAAGCTAAAAAGTTTAATATTTTTACTAGTAATTAAAATACTAACATGCTTTAAGACTTTATATATATTATTATAATTATTAATAAAAAGTTTAGTTAAAGGCTTTACATGGCTATTTTTTTTTAAAAAAAAAAAAACTTTATTAATATTATTAAAAAGTTTAAAATATTTTATACACTTTGGGCCGTTTATATTATATATAATAAATTTAAATAATAGCTAATAAATAGCACCTTTACTATACTTAAAAAAAATAACTTAATAAATAAAAAAAATAAAAATACTAAAAATAAAAAGAAATCTAAAAAAAATAGTAAAAATAAAAATAATAAATTAAAGGTAACATGCCTAGTATATAATTATTTATATTTTATTACTTTTTACTAGTATCTTAACGCTAAAAAAGCTCTAAAAGATTAGGAGCCTTAAAAGAAAACTTTGCAAAAAGTAAAAAAAAATATGCGGGATTTAACTATTAAAAAAAAAGTATTAAGTACCTTTAAAAAATCTAGATTTAATATTATAATATTTAAAATTAAAACCAAAAAAAATAACTTTAAAAACCTAAAAAAAGTTATAATAATAATTACCTATTTACTATTTAATAGCTTATAATATAGCTTATATAAAAGTATTATTACTAACTTTGGATTTTTTATACATGTTACTAATAACCTTACTAAAATAATTAATATTTATAACACCTTTAAAAATAATATTATTTTTATTAGTAATATTATTAATAAAATTAAAAAGTTTAGTATACTTCGCGTTTTTTACAAGAAATTAAATAGCTTAAAAAGGCTTTTAAAGCTTAAGAATTATGCCTATATTCCTGGCTTTTATACTATTATTATATTTTTTAATAAAGCTATATTAGTAAATCTATATTTTAGTAGCTATAAAAGGACTTTTAAAAACTTAAAAAAAATAAATTTTTACATACTTAAATAATATTATAGATTATATATACTTTACTACAAAAAATTTAATATTAATAATAATAAAAAGATTAAGGCCTTTTATACTATAATAAAAATAAAAATTTAACACTTTATAACTTTAAAAATATTATTAAAAAGCCTAAAAATTTAATATAAGTATATAGGCTATTTTAACACTAATATAGTATTTAAACTCCTAATATTTATAACTAGTATATAAATTAATCCAGCGCCTTAGCTCTTTAATAAAAAGTAAAAAAAAAACTACTTTATATATTATATAAACTCTTGTAATTCCCTAAGTAAATATTATAAATTAAATTAACTAGAGCAACCTAACTTTTTAAAAGGATTTATTTTAATATTCTTACTTTTAAAGCATCTTAAAATAATATAAAATATATTTTTTATTTTCTAAATAACACCACCTAAATAAGGTAAATAATACTATATACTAAAAAAAATAATTACCAGCGTGCTATTTAATTACTTAATACCTATGCCTTTAGGTAATTTAGCCTTTATATTTAGTTTTTTTATATAAATAATAAGATATTACAGCTTTTAAATAACTTTAAATTTATTAAAAAATAATAAGGTTTAGCCTTTAAAACTATTATTTTTAATATACCTAAATAAAACAGCGCAAGCAAGTAATTAAAAAAAATTATTTTATAAAAAGCTAAAGCGCTTTTATTAGCCACTAATATACCCTAAAATTTTATATTTAAAATTATAAAGGCATTTATTTATATATTAAATTACACGCCTATAAAAAATAAGAAAAATAAATAATTTATATTACTTTAAAAGTTTTAAGCATTAATAAGTAATACTTACCTAGTAAATATAGCTAATATTTTTAAGTTTAAATTACTTGTTTACTAGTAGCTAAAAATCCCTAACTTTTATAAAATAAAGCTAAAAGTAGCTATTAAATATTTTTATAAATATAAAAAAGCCTATAATATTTAAAAAATCTAAAATTCTTGCGCTAAAGCCATATAATATTTAGTTATTTAAGTAAAAAATATAATATTTAATAAGGCAAGAACCTATAATAAAAATAACTTAATTTATATAACTAGTTTAAGATATGCTATCCTAGCATATATTAATAAAAAAAAAAAAAATTAATTAATATACTATTTCTTATTAATTTTAAAAATAATTTTTTTAAACTTAATAATTAAAATAAGCCTACTCCTAAACCCAATAATATAAAAATAGGTAAAAATAAAAAGGTTAAAAATAATAAACCTTATATTAAAATTAATACTTAAAATAAAGCTATTCCTAACTTACCTGGTAATTTAATATTATATAATAATAAAAACCCTATAATTTTACTTATTCCTACTACTAGCCTAAGCTTAGCAAGTACTATAATTAATTAAAGCTCTTAAACCCATAATAATTATAAAATTATTTTAATAACACCTAACTAGGTAGTAAAAAGCAAGAAAAATAAAAAGATTTTTAACTTTAAAAATAATAGTACTAAAGGTCTCCCATAACTAAAAAATAATATAAATAAAAATAATAATAAAAAAAAAATACTAATACTACTTTTTTTTAAAAAATCTAACCTAAAACCGCATAAAATTAATATAAAAAAAGGGGAGTAAAATCTTAATCCCAGACTTTTAATTACATAGGTTAAATTAAATAAAAAGGCTTAATATAACCACCTGCACCAAAAGCAAAATTTAAAAAATTTTATAAATAAAAACCGCCCAAGATAAAAGCCTTTTTTTAAAGTTTTTTATATTAAACTTTTTTACTAGCTAGTAAAAAACTTTACTAAATACTATATTTTTTTTTATTTAATAATTTTTAAGCCTTTTAAATTATTACAAGAGGCCCCAGGCAAAGCTATTTACTAAAATTAGCTTTTAAAAAAACTAAAAAACTAGGCAAAACTTATAAAGTATTTATATAAAAACTAGTTTATAAAGGCTGCTAGAGTTAAATTTAGTACTTTTAAAAAACTTTATATTTTTAAAATTATTTTTATATTAAAAGGCAAGATTATTATACTACTTATATAAGTATTTAAATATAAATTTAATATTACTAGCTATTTAAATAAATTTAAAGCACGCCTCTGCGCTAAAAAAAATTTTTAATTTAGTAATTATATTAATATTATAATAATAATTTTTATTACTTAATTATTTTAACTTATAATGGCGCTTGTTGCTTATTTTAACCTTAATATTATTTAATTAAATATTATTAACGCCTTTATTTAAAGCTTTATAAATAAAAAAATATATATTAAAACACCACCCGGCCCCTGGCGTGTTAAAAATAAAGTATTTAAGTTAAATTAACCTTTATATAACCTTAAATAATTACCGTGTATTTAGTAAAAAAAAATATTTTTAATACTTTTTAAATATAGCTTTAAGCTAGTGCCGGAAAAGCCTTACCTTTTTATTATAAAGTATTTTATAATTATTTTTTTTATTAATAATATACTTATTATAAGCAAGAGATTAGCTAAAGCTAAAAAAAAGGCTACTAACTTTATTAAATATATAAAATATATATATAAATTATAAAATCTTAATAAAGTAAAGTGGTTTTTAAATATTAAAATTATTTATAATTATTATAATTAAAGAATTTAATTACTTTAAGATTTTTATATTAATAATTTACAGGCTAAATATAACCTTATAGCACCAAGTAAAATATTAAAAATATTTTTACTTATTAAAAAACTAACACCTACGCCTTTAAATTATATACTTATAAAGTAAGATATTTTTTTATATTAATAACTTATTAGCTTATTTTTTTATTTTATTATAATAACACGCCCTAACACCTTTAAAGTAGCTAGTAAACTTGCTTAGTATATAATATAACTTACTAAAACTTATATTAAGATAGTTAAATATATTATTTAATATTTTATTATTATAAAAAACCTAGGAATTAAATACTTGGCTAATATTAAAAAAATTATTATTATAATATTTAACACTTTTTTTAATAATAATTTTAACTAACATAGCTTTAATAAATAGTTTATAAAGCTATTTAAAGGTTTAATTAACTAAAATACTTATAAATAAAAAATAATTATTACCTTTATTATTAAAGCTAAATTACTTGCTGTTATTAAAAAAGCAAAAAACCTTATATAATAAAAAAAACTTTTTAATATTATAAAGTTTAATTTAAAGGTTAAATTACGCCTTTTTTATAATAATATCTAAATTATATAATTACTTAACTTAAATAACCCTATATTTATTATATAACTTTAATATGTTAATATTTACTATTACTAGCTTTGCAAGAAGTGTTAAAATAAAAAAATTAAAGTTAATTAAATAAAAATAAAAAATTAACTAGTAAATAATTTTATTAAACTTTTTAGTGGCCCGTGTTATAAAATATTTATTTATTAACTTAGCCTTATTAAAATTAAAACTATTTTTAATACCTAGTATTAGTGCTTTTGTTTTTTTAAGCACTAGGGGGTATATTAAATAAAAGGTAAAAATTTTTTAAATTTTTGCGGTAAACTTAGTTAAATAACTTTAATTAATCTTTAAAAATAAAAAAAAAATTAACCTTTAACTTTAGCTAGATCTCACGGCCTAATTAAAAAATAAAATATAAAAAAAAAAAAATAAATATAACTTAAATTTTTTTATATTTAGCTATTAAACTCTTACATTTTTATTTATTTTAGATCCTAAAAAATCTTATATTTTATTTACCCCTTAATTCTTATCCCAATCTCACATGACCAATTTCTGCCTGAGGCATCCGTAACTCCGAAATACTGCGATACCGTGAAACCACACATTGGGGAAATGCGACCGACTCATGTTGTGCTCCGTATCACCTGATCAGCCGCTGTGGCCTCGACGGACATGAAGTCATCGCTTGACTCCCTAGTCCCTACTAATACTCGGGTCAGCCACTCTATGCAGACGGCGTTTTGTGAGAACAAACCAGCCGCCGAGCCTGCATCTTTCTCCATGAGACCCCTGTTGGTCATACTGTGGCGCCGTTTCTTTCAGGGACTTGGCGGATGTGGTCTTTCAACCGATTTGCCGACTATTGTCCGTCAAAGCCGGTTACTCGTGGAAGAATGAGCAGCTCTTTGTTGACCTCGTGTGGTCGCACGGCCGATCGATCTCCCCGCAACAACTCCGTCCCCCGCTCTAGTTCTACCTATCTCCACACTTCCTTCCTCGACTCCTCGACTCCTCCACTCGCCGAGCTCTTATACCTTCCTTCGGCCCATTCCCCGCTTTTGACAGCCGCTGTGGCCTCTCTGCGCTAGACGAACTGGCCGTCGACCTGCCTTCTCACTTCACTCTGAGATGACTCTCTTTCCAGCCGCTGGAGACTGCCCCTTACCAGTCTGAAGCTTGATGCACCATGAGTGCACCATTCTCCCTGCCGTTGGTCCTGGGACCGTGTCGAGCGGCTTTCAGTAACCTCCCAGGCAGGACCTACATCTCGGTTAAGCAGTCGCGTGAGTCTATTTCCCATTCTACTCCTTACAAGTTGCCTGACACTGCTGTACAAAGTTGCCCGGAGTTCCTTCCCTCGTCCATCCTACGAACCCCATGAGCCCGCCTGGAGATACCGTTCGCAGTCCGCCCGTACCTACGCAACCAGTGTCTCCGCGCCGTCTCCGGTTCCTGTTGTCCCATACTCCTCGCTGACCATCGGGGTGCCTCGCGAGATATTCCCGAACGAACGCCGTGTCGCTCTTACACCCCAGAATGTGGCTTTGTTGGTCAAGAAAGGCTTCGGCCGCGTCCTCGTGGAACGCGGAGCTGGTGAAGGCGCTCAGCTGCTTGATCAAGCGTATGAAAAAGCCGGAGCGACCCTAGTCGATCAAGCCGCCATATGGTCTCAGAGTAACATTGTCTTGAAGGTCCGCGGGCCTCAGACCAATGGTGCTATTAACGAAATCGAGGCGTTGAAACCAGGGAGCACCATCATATCGTTTCTTTACCCAGCCCAGAACCAGCCGCTCGTCAATAAACTTGCCTCTCGTGGCGCAACCAGCTTCGCTATGGACATGATCCCCCGCATTTCCCGCGCCCAGGTCTTTGATGCTCTTAGGTGCGTTTTCCGTTCGGGTTCTTGGGAGCAGTCTAACATGATGCAGTTCGATGGCCAACATTGCTGGATACAAAGCTGTTTTGGAAGCGTCCAACCACTTTGGCCGCTTCTTGACCGGTCAAGTCACTGCCGCAGGAAAGATACCTCCCAGTAAAGTACTGGTCATAGGAGCTGGTGTCGCAGGGTTGAGTGCCATCGCATCGGCTCGTCGTATGGGGGCTATTGTACGCGGATTCGACACTAGACCTGCTGTACGGGAACAAGTGCAGTCGCTTGGTGCAGAATTCATTGAAGTTGACATCCAGGAAGACGGTGCTGGCCAGGGCGGCTATGCAAAGGAAATGTCTAAAGAGTTTATCGAAGCCGAGATGAAGCTCTTCATGGAACAGGCCCGGGAAGTGGACATTATTATAACTACCGCTCTTATCCCTGGAAAACCCGCACCGAGGCTGATTACCAAAGAGGTGAGGCTACTCAAGGCTTAGAAGAGCCGTGGGCTAATGTGGGCAGATGGTTGCTGCGATGAAACCCGGGTCCGTCATTGTCGATCTCGCAGCTGAGGCTGGCGGGAACTGCGAAGCAACTGTCCCTGGGCAGCGTACTACCTACAATGATGTTACTGTCATCGGTGAGTCCACATTACAATTACAAGGGATTCCTACTGACGCAACCAGGCTATACCGACTTCCCCTCTCGCCTACCGACTCAGTCCTCGACTCTGTACTCCAACAACATCACGAAATATCTGCTTTCCATGGCACCCCAAGAAAAGTCTTTTGGCATTGATCTTAGCGACGAAGTAGTCCGAGGATCGATTGTCACCCTGAATGGAGAGGTCTTACCCCCAGCTCCCCGACCCGCACCACCACCACCTCCAAAGGTCGAAGCAGCAGCACCATCCACAGCGAAGGCGGAGCTGGCCTTGACACCATGGCAGAAGGTTTCTCGTGAGGTAGCAACAACAACTGGAGGCATGGGGACTGTGCTCGCATTGGGAAAAGCAACCGGTCCAGTCTTCATGAGCAACATGCTCACATTTGGTCTGGCCGGACTGGTCGGTTATCGCGCGGTATGGGGCGTTGCTCCGGCTCTTCACTCTCCCTTGATGAGCGTAACTAATGCCATTTCTGGCATGGTGGGCATCGGTGGTTTCTTTATCATGGGTGGCGGCTATCTTCCTACGACCATCCCAGAACTTCTAGGATCAGTCTCGGTCCTCCTCGCGTTCATGAATGTATCCGGCGGATTTGTTATTACAAAGCGCATGCTTGACATGTTCAAGCGTCCGACCGATCCTCCGGAATACCCCTGGCTCTATGCAATTCCGGCAGTCGTCTTCGGCGGAGGCTTCCTAGCAGCCGCCAGCACCGGTATGGCTGGACTCGTGCAGGCCGGATACCTGGTCAGCAGCGTCCTATGCATCAGCTCCATCTCAGGCCTTGCGTCACAGCAAACCGCCCGGCGAGGTAACATCTTTGGCATCCTCGGTGTCGCCGCCGGTATCCTGGCTTCTCTCGCTGCAGTTGGATTCTCCACTGAAGTATTAACACAGTTTGCTGGTGTTGCTGGTGCAGGTGCCATTGTTGGTAGGTGACCCGATGCGACATCTTCAGGCCTATTCACTCACGACTATAGGCGCGTTGATTGGGCGTCGTATTACGCCTACCGGACTTCCGCAGACTGTCGCTGCTCTGCACTCAGTTGTCGGTCTTGCGGCTGTGCTCACGAGTGCCGGCAGTGTAATGGCCGGCATAGATCATATCTCGACTCTCCACCTAGTGACGGCTTATCTCGGAGTTCTAATAGGTATCTTTTTCGCTCATTGCGATATGCCGTATGCTAACAATCATAGGTGGTGTTACCTTCACAGGCTCCATTGTAGCGTTCTTGAAACTTGCTGGTCGCATGTCCTCTAGACCGACTATTCTCCCCGGTCGGCATTTGATTAACTCAACTTTGCTCGGGACTAACGTAGCTACTATGGGGGCTTTTGTCACGATGGCGCCGGCCAACCCAGTCATTGCTGCGACGTGCCTAGGAGCGAACACTATCCTCAGTTTCCTGAAGGGTTACACCACGACAGCGGCCATCGGTGGAGCAGATATGCGTATATACTTCCCTCCTACCACCCAATCAAGCTTGGCTAATTGATGAAGCTGTCGTCATAACCGTTCTTAACGCCTACTCCGGCTTCGCCCTAGTCGCCGAAGGCTTTATGCTCAACAACCCACTCCTTACCAGTGTCGGTTCCCTGATTGGCGTCAGCGGCTCCATTCTGTCATACATCATGGTAATTCTTTCCTAATCCTTCCCCGTGCCGTGCTAATGGGCCAGTGCGTGGCGATGAACCGATCCCTAACCAACGTGCTATTTGGTGGAATCGCGACAACTCAACAATCGCAAAAGAAGATTGAGGGCAAGGTTACGCAAACGACTGTTGAAGAGACAGTGGACTCTTTGGCGAACGCGGAAAGCGTTATTATTGTGAGTACCTTTTATTTGCCCGCGATCCTTACTGATACATGTAGGTCGTTGGATATGGCATGGCCGTGGCAAAGGCCCAGTATGCTCTGGCCGAGATAACGCACATGCTGCGGGCAAAAGGCATCAAGGTCCGCTTTGCCATTCATCCTGTCGCAGGACGCATGCCCGGCCAGTGTAATGTCTTGCTTGCAGAGGCTTCCGTGCCTTACGACAGTTAGTACACAACTCCTCTCCTATACTAGTGGCTAATTCGACCAGTTGTCCTGGAAATGGACGAGATCAATGACGACTTCGCCGACACCGACGTGACCCTCGTCATTGGGGCCAATGATACTGTGAACCCTATCGCCCTTGAACCAGACTCACCTATTTCTGGTATGCCCGTGCTACAGGCGTGGAAGAGTAAGGAGGTTATCGTGATGAAGCGCGGCATGTCAAGTGGATATGGTAGGTTTCATCTCCGCCTTGGGCTTGATGGTGCTAACTCGCATAGCTGATGTCCCCAACCCGATGTTCTACATGCCCGGAACTAGAATGCTTTTCGGAGACGCGAAGACCTCGTGCGATGGTAGGTTATTTTATTCCTTGTTGCTCAGTGGACTATGCTGATTCTCGCAGCCATCAAAGCTAGTATCGAGGCCCGCAAGTAGAAGCCCGTATCGATGCGTTTGTCACTCTAGACACAGTCAATCAATAAACCTTTTGCATTTCTTTCGCTCGAATTCCATCCTAGTTGCACGCATCAGAACTCCAAGAAAGCCTTCTTATTCTCCCCAACCCACTCCTCGAATCCCACCCCAGCAACCCCGGTAATCCTCTCCGAACCCCCAACCATCCCGCAGTCGGCTGGTTCGCCAACATGCTAGAGTATGAACACCCAGCCATGATACACTGGAATTAGGAGTAAAGTATGTGGAAATTCATGGTTATAGTAATAATAGTGTAATATTACTGTATTTTAAGCTAACTTACTACTTAGGCTGGATATACAGCGTATTTAAGGTATATATTACATTAAGGTTACATAACCTTACTGTTGCCACGCCGCCAAGCTTTTGTTGCCACCCTTAATAAAAACTGGGTGTACATACCCTAGCACACCCAAAAAACGGATACGTTGCGGCAACGTATCCACTGGATTTCAGTATAACAACACGCTAGCTCCAGCGTGTTGGCGAACCAGCCGACTGCGGGATGGAATGCTAGGATCCATCTCAACAACCCCATCACACTTCCTCCACCAATTCATAAACTCCCTCGCAACAGGTTCCGGAAGAACTCCAGCTACCTTCGCAACCCACTCATCCTCGCCGACCCCCAAGACCTCAATCTCAACCTTCCCCTCCTCCCTTCGAACCCGATTAATCACCTCCACCTGCTGCTCTATACTCAAAACCCTCGTCCCACAAAGCTCAACAACCTGATCCACAAGCCTATCCGTGCTAAGCGCCACCGCCGCAACATCCGCGATATCCTTCTCCGCAACTGGGGCACAGAGCATACCCGGGAATGGTAGTGGGAGGACTAACTTCCCCTGTCCATTCGCAGCATACTCCCCATACCCCGGCTGCGCCTTGACCATGGGGATGAAGAAGTTTACAGCATTAGATGCGAATGTCCCCGGTCGCAGGAACGTGTGTTTTATCCCTGCGTTTTTAATCGCATCTTCATGGATTCCGTGGTGATGCGCAATGTACCCGTCCGGCACGAATCTCACGCCGTAGGAACTGAGGAAGGTTATATACTGCACCCCGGCGTTCTTTGCGTAGGCGATGAGCTCTTTGACTGATGGTGGTGGAGTAGGCGGTGCGTAGAGGAACAGCTTGGTTATGTTGACCCCGTCCGCACCTGGGTTGAAGAGGGCTGGGTATGTGGAGGGATCCGTAAGGTCCGCCTGGACAACCTCGACGTTGAAAATGTCTTGGACGCAAGCTGGGAAGACGGCGTCTGTTTTCCTTCGAGTTGATAGCCGCAGGGGTGGGGGGTTTGGGAGGGAGAGGAGCGTTTTGGTTAGCTGCGACGCCACGGCGCCGGTTGCGCCGATTATGAGGATCTTGCCTGGGATGCGAGATGCCATTTTCGAAATACCAGGTATCGATTCTGGTTTCTCTTTGAGGAGTAAAGCTTGATGTAGGTATATATAAGAAGGTCTTGTCGACTGTTTATGATGGCGTAAGAGAAGTTAGGGCTCGGAGATATCGGGCATGCATGCGTCAGCGTCAGCCTGCAGGATCAACGAAAGGCCAATTGAGGTTTCAAGATGTGCTTAATGCCGCTTTGGAGGTGATACTAGGTATGGTAGTGGGCCGGAGTCTGACGCCGGCTGCATCCTACATCCTGGATCACTTTCCACTACTTGCATCAAGGCATATTGAACTGAGATTGAAGTGCCTGCTAAGAAGGACGTCAAGAAAATTGGAAGCTAGAAAACAAGAGAAAGCGCTATCGCTTGAGGCGAATCTCCTTCACACCCGTTACCCGTCTAATATCCTCCAACACGTCTTGGATATGGGTGAAATACCCCAGTTCGCCGTCATTCTGGCCGCCGAAACACATCCCCACCACCAAGCCATTCAAACTGTATACGAGAGCCCCCGAGTCTCCTCCCATAACAAAGGACTTATTTCTGTCGTCCGACATCACCGTATGTTCCAAGGTAACCTTGTCCACCCAGGCCCCATCAGCATATTGCCGAGCAACTTTGGCCGTTCTCAACGCGGTATATACCCCGTGAGCTACCCCAGTCTTCCGGCCCACCTTGTAAAGGGCTTCCCCGTTGTCGATATTCCTGCCGGGGGGGAGGATGTCGATCTGCTGGGGACAGACAACCTGGAGGTGACTTACATCATTCTTTCCGAAAGAACGATCGTTCCTTCGTTGCACCAATGCCCAGTCTCTCACCGTCTGCCACCCTTTTGTATTAGGCCCGACATTACGCGACACGGCCTCTCGGAGACCAGAGCCGGCAAACACATGGCCGAGGCGATATTTGTGGTCCTTGAGATATCGCTCCATCTCACGCTTACTGTTCTCAAGGACACCGATTTGCTTGCGAACCCCCTTCCACATCCCCATGTCGCTCGGGATCACAGATTCACCGGCGTCCAAAGCGCGCTGGACGTCTCGGTAGTAACTACCCGCCTTGAGGCCGGAGACCAGTGTTTCGAGCCTCTCAATCCCGTCGCGGATATCGCGCTGGCTTGGGGAGTCTATGGGGAGAAGTCGACGGGCATTATCTTGTTCTTGGGGAGTGATGCCATTGCGTGTCCACTGCGAGTATACTGTCACTTGAGGTTAGCATATGGCGCAAAGTGCTTTCGGATGGCATCGCCACTTACTGTTTGCATCCTCCTTCTGGACTCCGACCATGTCTGCCTCGGACGGACTTACACAATGGAAGCATGTGAGTGCAAACTCCACCCATTGTCCAGAGCCCGGGTCGCGAAGTTCCAGGAACCCTCCGAGAGTGCCATCGGTATTGGGCCAGCCATGGGGTCCCAGGCTGCACCCCAGGGAAGCCAACGCGGTGCAAGCCTCGGCCTGGAGTTTCTCAGTGGTCTGCGGGCCAGAATGCGTGGTCGGTAAGTCTTTCCGGATGATCACGCCAACGGCATGCAGCCGGAATTCCATCAGGGTCTGGAGGATATCCTCCCTAACGAGGTCCCAGTTACGCGTGCTGCCTCTCGACACTGTAACTAGGATATTCGGCACACAAGATTGTGGGTCAAGCGCATTGCCGATACGGAGGCATCCTATGGCATGGATACCGGTCAAATCCGTCCCGCGGAGTATGCGATCACAGACAGACTCCCAGATCGGGTAGATCTCGTCTGCGGGCCGGCAGGGGAACATATACGGGGCGCGAGTAAAACGTGGATCGACGATCTCGACGGAGATCGCCTCGCCCAGATGGCAGTCCTGCAAGAAACCCCAGACCTTTCGCGCAAGCTCCGCCCACCCTCTGTCTTGGGGATTGTGCCGATGCACGGTGAGCAGTGCTGTGAGAACCGGTGGGTTGTTCGGCATGTAGCGGGACGTCCGACCGACGAACGAGACGTCGCTGATCGTGAACCCGTTTAGGCGGCCCAGGATCTGGATGTCGTTTTGGTAGGTTCCATTGATGCACAGCTGTGCATATAGGGCATGACCCTGCGGCAATTGCAGGCTGTAGCAGGGTGGCTCGCACAGGTTGGGCCCTCCTGCGCGCAGGTCCTCTTCCACAAAGCCATCCATGACCCTTCCATCATTGGATGAGTCGTCGGAAGAAGATCTGTGACTACGTTTGTGGCGGTCTAGGCTGCCTGCCGCACTGGTCATAGGCGAAGCCGCGGTGGTTGATAGCGTCAGGACTGGAGAGGCGTATGATACCTCTGTTGGCCACATTGGCAGCAGGATAACGCTGGAGGTGGTCATTCTTGGTATACCCTCAAGTTCTTTGATACTTTGAGATCAGCTGAAGGACAGATGGGATTGGAAGAAGAAGATGGAGAGTGAGGAGGGAGATGGACAAGATATACCCCGTGCCCGGGCTGACTATCAGTGACTCATTGCAGTAACTGGTACTGGAAGGAYTCACTGGCTTGGAATGATGGCCAAATTCCGGGGTTGAAGGTTTCCATGCTGTTCGCGGAGTGAATGTCCAACCAACAGGAGCCCGCCCCAAGCTTGCAAGGTAGTCACAGGTTTATGTGAAGCAAGAAAGTATGACCTCGGGTACTTTACCTGGGTACCAGACCGGTTTAAGCTTTCTTCGGAAGACGTTTGCGAGCGAGTATGTGGAGTATGAGGCCAGGACAAAGAGGTTTATTGTGTTTGTTTTAGTTTCGTTGGCATTGACGGAGACGGGCTATGCGCCGATGCGAGACAGAGGAGTTGCATTTTAAATTCAGAACCCCGTCTATAGGTAGTTTGCCTTGGGGTATTTTGATATGCTAGGACAGCCATTCTTTGGGAACTAAGGCTACGATATGTGCGGCCAGGGGGGTAATATATCTGGAAAGCTCGCGAATGGACCGTGAGAATGGGATTCTTGGAATCTGACAGTGACACATGGTGAGTCATGACTGTTCTACCTAGGTACACTGGAAGCGAATATAAAGCCCAAGCACCTATTCTACCTCCAGGTGGGGAAATAGAAATATTATTTTGTCCAAAGCTAGGTAGACATCGAATTCCGAACAAAAGACCTTGCTTTTTGTCCGTCTCCTGAGCCATGGCCCATCAATTCAACACCCTCCCGAAAAACATGCCCGGCACGCCGGAGCTATTCACCCTCCACGTTACTGATTCCGAGCTCACCGAGTTCCTTGACCTGGTCCGACTGTCCAAGATAGGACCCTCTACATACTGGAACCAACACACCGACGACGGCCGCTTCGGCATCTCGCGCGAGTGGCTCGTGAACGCAAAAGAGACATGGCTGAGCGAATTCAACTGGCGCGCGCACGAAGACGCCATCAACAGCGTCCCCAACTTCAAGATCAACCTCCGAGACCCAGAAGCTGGAGAGGTGTCCATTCACTTCGCAGCACTCTTCTCGAAGCGCGATGATGCGGTCCCCATCCTCTTCCTGCACGGGTACCCGGGTTCGTTCTTGGAGTTCCTCCCCATGATGCAGCTGCTTGCGCAGAAGTATACGCCCGAGACGCTTCCATACCATGTTATCGTCCCCTCGCTACCGGATTACGGCTTGTCCGGTGGAGTCGGCGACCAGCTGGAGATGTCGATTGAGCGGGCGGCACGGATCATGAACCAGCTCATGGTGGAGCTTGGGTTCGGCGATGGGTATGTTGCCCAGGGAGGAGATCTGGGGAGTATGCTTGCACGGATTCTCAGTGTCGAGTATGAGGGGTGCAAAGCGCTTCATGGTATGTACTTCCCCTACTCCCAGTAAATCGAGATCATAGCTGATGACATCCAGTGAACATGCTTCACCTGAACCCGGGCGAGACACCTTCGCCCGCCGCGTCTAACAACCTAAGCCGTGACGAAGAAGAGCACATCAAGCGAAGCAATGCGTGGCAGCAAACGGGCTTCGCGTATGCCCTCGAGCACGCGACGCGACCGTCAACTATAGGGCTCGTCATCTCGACAAACCCCCTGGCGTTATTAGGCTGGTAAGGTCCCCTAAACCCATCCCTTTCTTGAATTCTTGCCACAGGACATGGACTGACCGTCCCAGGATCGGCGAAAAATACCTCGAATGGACCGACCCCCGTCATCCGCTTCCACTGGACACAATCCTCGCCACTGTGACGCTGTACTGGTTCACGTCGACGTTCCCGCGTAGTCTCTACCACGCATCCCTAGCAAAGAACGTTCTCGCCGGGATTCCGCATCCCATTACAAAGAGCAAGCCGCTGGGATACTCGGTCTTCCCGTACGATATGGCCTTTGTCCCGCGGGCGTGGGCGAGGGAGCTTTATGGGAATTTGGTGGCGTATCAGAGGCATGAGCAGGTGAGTTCTGTCCTGCTATATTTGTGTTTTTCTGTTTATGAATAAGGTCGCTAATGGATATTTCGTACGTACAGGGCGGTCATTTTGGTGCCTTGGAGCAGCCGGCGGCACTCTTGAGCGATGTTGAGGAGTTTGTGGGGATGGTGCGTGATAATGTGTGGAAGGGTCAATGAAGGGCCCGGCAATGGAAGATAGAAGGCAGGTCCTGCATTCAATGTACTGGTCGTGTGCGGAGATCCTTTTTGTTTGTCATGTCGAATAGGGGCATCAGCTAGAATGATCAACTCACATCCCTCAAAGAGGTTCGGGTATGAGGCGCTGGATTGCGTCAAGTCAAACCCACCACTATTTCAACCTAACCGCCTCCACCCCCGTAACCTCCTTGATACCGTGCAGGATTTCCTGGATATGCGAAAAGTACGCAATATCCCCGTTACTTTCACCGCCGACGAGCATACCCACCACCAAGCCTTGGTATGAAAAGACCAAGGCACCGTCATCTCCTTTCGCATAAGACCTTTCCCTGCCTTCCCTGTTATAGACGACCGTGTGCTCCATGGTGACCGTTTCTACCCGATCGTCATCGTTCTGGCACCGAGTTATCCTTGCCGTCCGCAGTCCGTTATACAAACCCCAGGTCTCGCCCGTTGCGCGTCCGATCTTGTCAAGTCTCGTCCCGCGGTCGATGTTGCGATGCCGAGGAATGAAATCCAAGCACTCGTCGCCTAGGATTTTGGAGCGCGAGATAAACTGGTAAGATGCAAATGTTAGACAAGCAAAGAGGGTTGAGAAGTAGCGAGAGGGAAAGAAAATGACTTACATCCTTCTCTCCACAAGCTCGACCAAGCGATGGCTGAATGAGCGCCCAGTCCATTGCGGTTCCCAGGCCATTTCGAGCAGGAACGTTATGCCGGAACTCAGGGGCGGCGAACACAGTGCCGAGCAGGTTTTGTCGGTTTTCGAAATAGTCCGTCATCTCAGCGCGCATTTTCCCAAGGGTACGTATCTGCCTGCTCAGCGCCTCGCATATCCGGAAGTCGGCATCACTCCCGGACTCCAGATTAGGGTCGTAGGAGTGAGCCTTGAGTTGGGCAATCTGTTTGCTGAGCTCGTTGATCCCCTGCTGGACATCGCGGCTGGTCGGGCTGTCAACCTCCAAGCGCCAGGAATCGCCATCATTAGACTGACCAGGTGATAAACAGCGGCGCTTCGACTGGGAGCTTTTCGAATCAACCCGACTCGGGACGACACAGTGGAAGCAAGTGATACCATGCTCGCTCCATTGTCCTGAACGCGGGTCTTTGAGCTCAAGAAAGCCCCCCAACGTTCCATAGCAGTAGTCGCTTGACCCATGCAGCCCGATGCTGTCCCCGATCCGAGCCGTTGAGGTACACCCCTCAACTTGCAAAGTCCCTGCCGTGGGTTCAAGGCGACCGTGGCCAGGGACCGGGAGGTCTTTCCGGATGATGACTCCGACGCTCTGCAAGCCAAACCACGTCAGTACGTCTATTATGGTATCTCTGACATCATCCCAGTTGCGATTGCACTCCCAGGATACAGAAACCAGGATATGCGGCGAGCAAGACTCGGCTTTTGGCTCGTTGCCGATTCGATGACATCCGATGGCTTTTATCCCGCTCAGGTCGTTGATCTTGTCCAGGGAACGAGCGCATACATCTTCCCACATGGGTAAGATATCGTCTGTTGCTTGGCAGGGGAATACGGAAGGGTATTCCCAATCAAAGCGCTCATCGACAATTTCCACGGAGATCCGTCCTCGGTCCAGGCCAAGGTCTAACTCGGGGCACCCCTTCAAGGACCTCCATATCTTTCGCGCAAAATCTGCCCATCCCCTCTCCTTTGGATCGTCTCGATGGACAGTAAGTAAGCCCGTCAGGGGTGATGGGCTGTCGGAATCTGTGGAATAGAGGGACTTTCTCTGTACGAACGAGACGTCACTGATTACCACCCCGTTCTCGCGTCCGAGCTCTGTTATTATGTCCTGGTAGGTGGTGGAGCAGTAGAGTTTCGTGTGAAGAGGATGGCTTGGGGGCAGGTATACGTTGTAGCATGGGGGTAGACAAAGCGAAGGGCCGCCGGCGCAGAGGTCTTCCTCCTCGAAACTATCAGTATCCGTGTTGCAGCCATGCATGGAAGAGGATCGGTTGGTCCTTCTGTGGCGGGTTGAGTTCGGTAGGTCATCGGGCGTGGTCGGGGCTGAGGTGAGGGTAGGCGACGCGTAGCTGACCTCAGTAGGCCAAATTGGGAGGAGGATCCTGGTGGATGTTTTGGAAGAAATGGTCGGGAATCGAGTTGTCATTATGGCCAGAGTAGCTGGTCGAATTCGGGGATTTGAGCGAAAGTCGTCGAGGGAAGGTGGATAGCGAGAAAGAGAATGGATAAGGGAATGGATTTCCTGAATTAACACGTTTTATATTTTCTCGGGTCCGATGATTCATTTGATTGACTGGCTTGGATTGAACGCCCGAAAAGAAGAGTCAGAAAAAAAGAGAATAACACGGAGCGGAGTATACTTCCATTACTTTGACTGCTTCGGTACATTTTTACCTCAAATATGGCACTTTGTCCCCATCGCACGACACTCTGGACATACCCTGGCCTGGTTCCCTTCCTCATCGGTACATATAGGGCAAATAAGAGCGTCGTCATAGTGCGATATCACGGCAGCACAAGTCAAACACTGCACCGATGGCGCTACAGGGTCCCGGCGGGACAGATCCCTGGTGATCCAAAAGGTAGACCCGAGTGAGAATGTCGAAGAAGGGCGTTCAAGCATTTGGGAGATAGTCCGTAGCTGTTCGTGAATGTAGTTCGTGGGATTTCGTTTCTTGTCCAGCAGCATGTGTTTGCTTTGCGCCGCGAACGATAGCGGTGTACGACCAGCGCATGTTAATGATTGTATCGCATTGCTGCCATTGCGCAGAAGGATGCAAACAATGTCCGAGAAACCGTGGATAGTCGCGAAGAAAAGAGGGGTGCGGCCGAATCGATCAGGCGCGTCTATCAGGAGCCGCCTTCGATCCTGCCAGGTTCCCTCGGTTTGCGAACAACTAGATAAGAAAGTATCCACGGTGGAAACGTGCCCTCTCATAACTGCTATGCACAGCGGTGTAAAACCATGCTCATCTCTGATATTTGCATCAATCCCCTTGGACAATAAGAATCGTACGCAATGTGTTGACCCATGTATGGCGCCAAGGAACAGGAGCGCGTTGGGCTTATTCTTCATCAGGATGATATCCGGCCGGAAAGAAAAAATGAGTTGCAGGATTCGTTCATCATCTCGAAGCATTGCTATCGCCAAGGGGGTCAGGCCGTGCTCATCGGGACTATTGACTGGAGCGCCTCTGATGAGTAACGCCTCGGCAGTGGTGTAGTATCCGTATGCGACAGCTTTGTGAAGGAGGTTAACTGAAGAACGTCCTGGCAACTTGTCTAATATCATTTTATCGTCCATTCTCAAATACGCCAAGGAGAACTCGCGAGGTAGGAGTTCAGTGTTGACGATAAGCCATGCTTGGACAGTGCTCTGGTAAACATTGTCGCGCCTAGCACGCATCGTGGTGGGTACAAGTCTCCCAGCATGCCTTAAGTTCAGCCGTGGGATAAACATACTGGTTGGGTCTCTGGCCCGGAGCATCTTGACGATGTCGGGGTAACCTTGCGCGATGGCAAACCCGAGTAAGCTTTCCCAGTACACGATTTTGATGCTGAAATCAGCAGCGGAGTTCAGCAGAAGTAGGACAATCTCTGTGTGGCCCCTTTCAACCGCCCAAATGATAGGAAGGTCACCGAGTCCTCCATGTGCATTGGGCTTTGCCCCAGCCGCAAGAAGAGCTCTGACTATTCCGACATTGCCACGGCGCGCCGCACAAGACAATGGCGTATACATGTTTGTATCGGCATAATTGGCACGTTGAGTCTGGGAGCAGGGCATATGGTAAGTATTCTTATTCTTGCTGAGGCGTCGATCATTCTCGACGTCCGACTTGTCGTTGACCCCGGGATCTGCTCCATGGCGCAAGAAACTGGTAACGCAAGCCTCTCGATTATTAGACACAGCCCATATTATTAATATCTCCGCCAGATCACCGCATTCGTTAATGACGCGATCGTAGAGAATTGGGTTCAATCTGTTGTAGTAGGAGCGACAGGTCCGAGTGAGTGCGTTCCAGTCTGCAGTCTCCCAGTCCAAGTCGGCCCAGATGAGCAGGAGAAGCTCAACTGGAAGGCTGAGGATGTTGCATTGTGTATTCATCTTGATGCCGCCTAGAGCCGAGTCTCAGGCTCGGCTATGAGATTGTACCGGGCGATCGACTGCCATCCCCGGAGAGACAGCGAAGAATATGATCGGTTGCGGAGACGCTGCTGGGGATGGATACACAGGATGGGCAAAGTCAATGATGGAAGTGCCGATCCTTGAAATGTTCTTTGATGAACTAAAGATAAGACTGAAGGTTGTGGAATGTGGGAAGAAGACATCGAGTAGTACAGAACTAGAAGAGAAACCCCGCTATAGACACGCCCCACCTGCTCCTGCCACTCGATGTGGGCCCGTCGATCAGGAGGAGCGTGGCCAGAACGGTCTTGGCGGGCGTGCCCCTACCGGTGCCTGGTCTAGACCGAATGCGGGAATCTCAAAACAACCCGGGATGTCACGGGATCTGGGCGCTCAATCATCATTCCTCGCAACACCTTTTCTTTCAATCCTCCTCAAACATCCCAACATGCCGCCCAAAAAAGCTGCTGCAAGTCGCAATCGCGTCGCGAAAGCCTCCGCTAAAGGTCCCGCCAAATCGACCAGCGGCCGAGGTCGAGGCCGACCCAAGAAAGGTTCCACTGCTGCGCGACCAACACGTGTGTTTGCCCTCCGTATATTTTCTCCCCCAGCTAACACAAGATAGCACCACCCCTGAACCAGCGCACCCCCCCAACGAAGCGATTAGACGTCTACGTATTCGGAACAAACTGCGCCGGCGAGTTAGGCCTGGGCGACGCAACGACAAAGACCGAAATCCCACGACCCGTTCTGAACCCGAAGCTCGCCGCCGATAAGGTCGGAGTCGTACACCTGGCCGTCGGAGGCATGCACTCTGCGGCGCTGACGCACGATAACAAGATATTGACGTGGGGTGTGAATGATGATGGCGCGCTGGGGAGGGACACAACGCAGGACCCCAACGACGTCAAGACGCGCGATGTGGACGAGGCCAGCGAGGACAGCGATAGCGAGGAGGAGGGCAATTTCAACCTGAAAGAGGCGACGCCGATAGAGGTGGATCCCAAGCACTTCCCTTCCGGAACCGCTTTCACTCAGTTGGTTGGAACGGACAGCGCGACGTTTGCGCTTACAACGGGTGGGAAGGTCTATGGGTGGGGAGCGTTTACGGTAGGTGCACTTCCCTCGTCCTTTGAGCGTCGGCTGACATCACTTCAGGACGGTAGTGGGAATAAACAGTTTATCGCCGGTTCTACGGTGAAACGTCAACTCACACCGATTTTAATCCCCGGACTGGAGAACATCGTACAACTATCCTCCGGCGCACAACACGTTTTGGCTCTGACATCGGACGGCAAGGTGTTCGGTTGGGGTCGCAACGAGCAAGGACAACTCGGGCGTGTCCGTCGAGTACGCGGCGCGGCAGCCGACTCCCTCACCCCAGCGCAATGCGCCACCCCACCTAATATCGTGAATATCGGCACCGGCTCATATCATTCCTTCGCTGTACACAAGTCAGGCAGAGTCTACGGATGGGGCTCGAACAACTTCGGGCAAACCGCTATATCGGCAAGTGCGGGCCGAGGCGACGCGACAGTGATGTATCCGACCAAGGCCCCAGCTTTCAAGCCATTCTCGAAAATCGTCACAATCCAAGGCGGAAAAGACCACAGTCTCGCCGTAACACAGGATGGAAAATGTCTATCGTGGGGTCGCATCGATAACAAAGCTCTTGGTGTGGATATGACCAAGGTTGATGTGGCTGATGTTATCGTCGACGAATATGACAGACCGCGTATCCTTGCCGTCCCAACGCCCATCGGAAATATTTCGGACGCTGTCGGACTTGGAATAGGAACGGACCACTCCTTCGTCATCACGAACAAGGGCCAGGCATATAGCTGGGGATTCAACGCGACGCGCCAGACAGGACAGCCTAGCGACGAGGACATCGCCGAACCAGCTATCCTTAGCAACAAACACGTTGACGGGAAGAAACTGGTCCTCGCGGATGCAGGTGGGCAGTTCAGTATCGTCGCTGGAGAACACGGAGTCTGATAGGCCGGGAAGGGAAGAGGCGTGCTAACATATATACATTATTTTCAAACGATTTTCGCCCTACGCCGTGTACAATATCGATTGATACCTACGAGATTGCCTTCTAAAGCAATAATGACAATACAAACTGATGCTCCATCAGCTCATTCCGTAATCATTATACCTGCATCGCGCAAGGACAATCTCTCGTAATGTAATGATTGCAGGCTCTGGACTCTGCTCTCAGGATTGTAGTCGGAGGGCCAAAGTCTTTTTGATTCCTGGTCACTTCATGGACTGAAGTCTCTCATTCGACGCTTTCGTTTCCCCAGGCCAGACTCCCAACACTCAAAAGAAACGCAAAGGGCGAAAAGGGCGAAAGGGTTAAGGGTGGGCAAATATCAGGCCTCGTGTCTAAAGGCGCCGGCACATATATCAGAAATAAAGCTCCCTGGAGTGCGCTTCTTTGTTTGACCGAGGCACCCAAGTGGCCGCCACAAATCAGACGTGTTTTGAGGTTGAGAGAGCTGCCACCTGGAACCGTAACACTCCACAAGAACACCTCCTTTTTCACCCTCCCCATTTTTTGTTTTCCTTTTGGGCCCATCTCCGACCAGCTTGAGATGCCTATCCGTCCACATCAATTATAGCCTGCGCAAAGTCTTCACGATGCCGGAAATCATAAACGACAGAGACCTTCCCCGGATCCTCAGCACCCCCACAAAGCAAATCAAATTCGCGAAGAAGCTGGTAGCCGAGCAGCTGGGGGTGACTGTAAAGCGCGGAGGCGTTTTAAGGGCCCCGATCCAGGGAATGTTCAGTCGTACCCATTTCCTCAAGTTGTCCGACGGACGCGAAATCGCGCAACAGTTTCGCACTGAACCGCTCGACCTGGCTAGCTTCATCACCGCGAGAAAAGTCCTCGGATGCGTCGTACCGGAGGTGATCGCCTTGGAGAGTGAGGAACTTCGCAAGGAAGGTGTTTGGGCCTACTCACTTACTCGCATTCTCGGCCAGACATGGCTCCGCGGGGTCGCTGGAAAAGGCGCCGAGGGTCGAGTCGCGATCAACAAGTCGCTCGGCCAGGTGTTCGCCAAAGGTTTCATGGCCGCCACGAGTGAAAAGGCTGTTGAGGAGCACGTCCGGCCGCACCTTGAGGCTATCCTCGCGTCTGAGCAAGAGGAAGTTATCGCATACCGTCCTCATGTCCAAGCCATGGCCGACAAGCTGGATGAGCTTAAAAAGTTTCCGCTCTGGATCGCTCACTACGACCTCAACGACGTCAACATCCTGATCGACGATGATTGCAACGTGACCGGATTGGTTGACTGGGAGCTATCGACACCTCTGCCATTCGGAGCTGGATTGGGGCGCATCCATACCATCGCCGGCGAATACCACGACGGGGAATTTTGGATGCCTGATGAGTTTGAGGACGCCGAGAGAGCCTTTTGGAACGGACTGTTTGATGGAATGGATATCAACGTCAGGGAAATGCTGGAGAAAAACATCGACCTTGTTCAGGACGCGGTTCAACTTGGGACTTTGTTGGATTGCTTTTTCTTTTTAGACGGCAAGGTTGGATTCAGTCCTGTGTCTCTCAAGGCTTTTCCGAAGTTCCTTACTTATCGCATACCGTTTGTCAGAGGCGACGAGGGACCGTACAGCAGCGAGGTTTAGTCGAAGTCCAATTAGCCTGTAACTACCATACATAGGTGTACCTAGGCAGTGCCATCACGTGGCTGACAGGGGTCTGTTCCTGCCTCAATTCCGCCGTCTCCAACCTGCCTTTTCACCCACCTCCACTACCAGTCTTTGACCGTTTTACCACTTAGCGCTCCTATTGTTAGATACACTGCTATAGCTCCCAGCTTCGGCAAGCTATGGATCAACCGCCTCTCGCACGACAACAAGCAGAGACCCCACTCCCCCCAGTGGACCGCCCGCAAGCGGGGAATGCGCTGGACGTACTCGGCCCCGGAGAAGCGCCTCGACACTCACGGAAAAGAAGAGCTTCGGAAGATGACGACTCTGATGGCCTGGAATGTCCGCGAGACGCCAAAATCCGCTGTGCCCGTGACCAATCAGACGTTGAACATCCGGCGAAAGACCCTTCAACTCCACTCCCGAACGATCTCCACCAAGACCGTGACACCGACGCTGCGTGGATTCAGAACGAACTAGACAAGATCACGTCCTCGAGACAGAAATCAAGTGACTTCCTGGACCTGGATGACTTCCTGGACCTCCACGGCACCCCAGATTTCAGTGATACCGACAACGAGTCGATCTTCAGCCGTACGACAGAATCAACCGAGGCTGCCGAGGATGATATCCCGTTTCGCGAGGCGTACTTTCTGTACCTAGAATCCTTTGCGCGGCATGCGGTAAGTAAAAGAACTGCATAGCCTGCAAACTTGGACATGGTCGCGGCGACTAACGCACAACGCAAACAGTCACCGGGTGGGCCAGGGATCCCAGAAAACTTTGACCTTGGCGTGTACCTACAAGACGACTGGGAGTGATGGGCAACTTTTACTGGTATCAAAACACCGTTATGATATATCCGTCTAGACTTACTATTCCTCAGAGTCTTGAGCAATCCCAATGTCCACTGAAATTGTCTTCCGCTGGTTTCCAACGCGATATTTTCTCCAGTCACATTTGTACCTTGAGAGGCCACATCAAGATTTCCACCTTCGAGCCTTTCGCCGAATGACCACTAAATCTGGATATGATAGTTGGGGTGGTAGATAGGTGCGCGGACTCATGGGTATTTGATGAGCACCAGGTTGCTTGGTATCTGGATGACGACGTAGCCGACTTCGTCTGTGAGCATCAACTCTGGACACAGGATTGTTTGATGGGAGTAGCGAGATACGAACAAGCTGCCTTGATGCCGCTCAGCATCGCGCCGCCCGGTTTGAGGTCCTCCTTCATCCAGGAGCCATGCATTTGCTGACGACCGTTAGCAATGGTTAGAGAAGCGCCATACTCATAACGGCCATGGCCACTTACTCAAGGCGGAAACATCAAGATATTTTACAAAAAGCGGCAAGCCAGCATATGGCAAGACAAGCAAGTCAAGCCATCCAACAAGCTGTCGGTCTTATCGGGGCATCCCATCGAAATCATCGCAAGGCCTCTTCGAGGCGTCACAGGAATCCCCCAGGAACGCCCTTTATGTTATATCTTTCAACATAGATGTGCGCAAAGAAGGGAACAGCAATGCCTGGTATTCATGAGATTTTCTCATGCAGAATGCTTATTCTCGCTGACTTCGAGCTGAGCGCCGCCTCATACTACGGCGTTTGGCATATGTCCCGCCAGTGCCCTCACTCAGAACCCTTTTCTTCACGCAATATGCGCCACCCGCCGTCGTTATAGTCAAGGAGGCTTAGTCCGTATGGCTAGGCCAGTGCTTGGAGAATCACTCGATTACGCCTCTGTCTACAAAGTCATGGTTGGATTGTCCTCTACTCGATCACTCAAGGAGGCATTTCACATATATTCTTTCGAGCCGGCCCAGCATCGCTTGCTTAGCATTCGCCATTTATGGACATTAAAATGATCCTCGAAACGGCCATCCGACATAGTTGCCGACACTCGGAAAGTGGTCTATCCTTCGTCACTCTATAGGTTGCTCCTCCATGGACGTTGATATCCGCCTCTTCTTACAGGACATCGCCAAACTCCTTCTCAACGTCATGCTCGGACAGCAAAGGGCTCAGTATTCATCCGCCCCTTCATCCGTTGAATCAACTTCTTATCCACATATCCCTCCGTCCCCTGGATGTTAACTTTAGCATTGAGGGCTCTATATACAGCCTCTAGCAGCCGCTCCCTATGTGGCTTTCTCATCTTCTCATACATCCTCAACGCCCTCTCAGTCTTCAGACTATGAAAACCGCAAAAGCGCCGCCATGCGCATCCGCTGCGGAGCCGACAAGCGTTATCTGCAGAGTGGGTGGATTTATTGTTAGCATACCCGGTGAAACGAGTCCTCCGGCAAATCTGGGACCTTCCCAACAAAGAAGGAGCCATCCACGGATCGAACGTCGAGCGCATGAATACCTTTCTTGTGAGTCGCAGCTTATAAGCCGGGATGCACGATTGCCTGACTCTCGGTCGCAAAAGCCATTAGGCCTCATTCACGCGACCTCAGCCCATGCGCTCCAATTAGGATATCACCATGCGCAGTCGTCCCATCTTCAAAATCCAGTCACATCATCCTCGTTGACTTCTACCTGCCTACACTTTTCGCCCAGGTGAATCAACTTTCGCGGGACATGTTCGAGCAGCGCAGCGTGCAGATGACCACGCTGCATTCTTGGAATAATGGACGACGCCCACCTAAACTCCGACCAGTACAACTGACTTTCGTCGATATTCTACTTCGGGCAGTTGCGGCCGGAATTGGCCCAGAATTGAGCCTTGCAGCGGTTTCCTGCGGACAAATGGATTGCGGGGAATTTCGCTTTTTGGTACCCGTGTCCCCTCATCCTCTTTCCATCCTTGTACATGAGGGTCATGGTGTTAACGTAGACCAGGGGCTGCATAATCCTCCCCCAAGCCCCATGCAACAAGTTCCGGTCACTATTCGTCGTCCGGCTCTTCCTTGGGCTCGCCGAGGCATGTATCGGGCCTACATTCTTGCTCGTAATGTCTATTTTCTCCACGTACGACGAGCAGGCGGTCATGATGCGGATTATGTGCTCCATTGGGAACGCGAGTCCGATTGAATCTGGCTTGTTGTCGGACGGGGTGCTCTGGATAGATACTGGAAGCTTTGCGTCTTGGAGGCAATTCCGCTGCCACTGTGTCGTCGCCGACTATATACTGGCTATTCTATCTAGTGCTCTCTTACTATGGTAGGTTCGTGCTGGAAGTGGGTGCCTGAGGCCACCGGCGGCCTTAGGGCTCCGGTAAAGGAAGGTTCTTTTGGCCTAAATAGCTACTATAAAACTTTTTATTTATCCCTAGAATATTTAGCTTAGTATACCAAGTAATAAAAAAAAACTTTTATATATAATAACTATTTATTTTTTTAGTAGGTTATAAGCCCGGGTTTGCTTAACTTATATACTTAATTAAAAGTTTTTTTTTTAAGTTAACTTATACTAACTAAATACATAATATTTTTTTATTTTATTATTTAGCTTTATTATTTTTAACTTTACTAGTTATTATAATAATTAAAAAGCCTTATACTTAGGGCAAGGTCTTTATTATAAAAATATAAATATTATAACTTTATTTTTTTTTACTTTAAATTTTTTTTTTTTTTTTTTTAATTAACTTTTAATTTTATAAACACCTGCTTTTTAGGGCCACATGTATTTAATTTTTTAATAAAAATAAGTTCCCCTTAGTAATTAAAAAATTTTAAAACTTTTAAAGGTAGTATAATACCTTTAGGTTTCCTAATTTAAACTTTAATTTTAATTACTTTTTAAAAATTTAAATTAATTTTTAAATATTTAACTGGCCGTCCCTAGTTACTAGCTTTTTTTTATAATTATTTTAGCATAGGCTTTAGCTTATTTAATCTTAATTTTATTATAATAACTTTTTAGGGCTTATTATTTTAAACTACCTTGGGTTCTTAATTTTCAAGCACTTTAATTTTTAATACTTAAATTACTTTAATTTTTTTATTATTTAGTTTTTTTATATTTAGTTTTCTTATACTAAGCTAAAATAAAAAAATAACCTTAATTAAAGTAGAGAACATCCTGGTTTTAACTTTAAAAAATTAGTAGGTTAAATAAAACTAGTAGGTATTTTTAAAGCTTTAAAAGGCTAGCTATAATTATTTTTTAAAGTAGCTAAACTAAAGGCACCCTATAAAAACCCTTATTATTTTTTTTTATTATACTAGCTTTAGTAGGTAAAGATATTAAATTTTAGCTAATAATTTATTATAAGCTAAGCTAAAAATATAAGTATTAATAATAAAGTTTTAATTATTATTATACCTTTTACTTAGCCTGCTACTAAGGCTATTATTACTAAGGCTATTACTAAGCCTACACCCCTGGTAAATTATAATAAGGCTAAAATTTAATAATAAAACTAAGACCATACCATGGCTTTAATTTTTAATTACTTAGGTTTTAATTTATAAAATTTATTTACTAATAAATAAATAGTATATAAGCTACTTAATAAAATTAAAAGTTATTTTAAACCTAATATTAATATTATAATTTTTAAGGCCTAGACTAACCTAATATTCTTATTTTATAATAAAAGTATTTTTAACCTTAGCAAGAAACTTAGAAAGATTTAGTAAAAATTTACTTATATTAATATTATTTTTTTAATTAAGCTTATTATTACTGCCTTTTATTAAGCCCTAGGTAACTAATTTAATTATTTTAAGGCTATATACTTTAATAATTATATTATTAAATACCTCCCGGGGGACACCACCATGTTAATTACTTTTTTAAATAATTTTATAATTATTACTAAGTTTATTAAATTAAATTAAAACCAGGGCACTAGTATCCTAGTGTTTTTTTTAATAAGGTATTTATAAAGTTTAATACTAAGCACTATAAAAATTATATTAATATTATTTAGGTTTATAAAAATAAAGGTACTATAAATATTACCACTTATTACTATCCCTATTATAACACGCTTTTTTATAGCTAAAAAACCTGCTATTAACTTTATTTTAAACTTAGGAATAATTAGGAGAACTATAGTAGCAAGGGTATTAAGTATTATTAAAAAAACTTTAAATTTAAAAAAAAATATAAAGCCTATACTTAAGCTAGTACTTATAGCTTAAATTAGCTTAAATTTTAAGCAGGAAATTATTTAAAACAGCCTTATTTAATAAATTACCCTAAATAATAGCTATATATAATATATTATTTATAATTTTTTTTTATTCCAGGACTTTAAGCCTTATACTAACCCTAGTATTAAGGGTATTAACCCTAAAGTTTTTAGTATTTAGAATATTAATATTATTAAGATCCCTTGTTATATTAATAACTAGCTTAAAATTTTAGCTTTAAATAATATTTTATATTACCCTAATATATTTTTTATACTAATTTTTATTTTTTAATTATTAAATAAGCGCTGCTTAGTTAGCTTTAGCTAGTAAAATATAAAAGCTAAAAAACTATAAAATATTAATATTATTATTTTATATAGTTATAAATTAGCTTAGTACATGGCTACTAAAGTTTATAAAATATTTTTATTAAATTTTTATTAGGGCCTGATAATGCTAGCTATTTTAATACTAGTAATATTTATTTTTTAAAATAAATTTTTTTAGCTTTAGTATTAATAAATAGGCCATACCTTTAAAAATTAGCTTAATAAAATAAAAAAGGTGGTTTATAGTATATATATACTTAAAAGTTATATTTATAAATTTTATATTATTACATGCTAGTAGGCTAAACCTTATAAAGGTATTATAATACTTATTAATTAATTATTTAAATTATTTTATATAAATATTTCCGGCTTGTATTTACTTTTATTTAATAAAAAC